TTTACCTCGTGGATAAATGAGATGTGGTCAAGACTATTCACAATGAGTCACACATAACAGAAGAACATAATTTTTTCTGAAATGTTTTGTGTCCCTTAGCCAGGAATCAATTCAGCCACATCACTTTTTGATCAAAAATTATTTTTTTTTTCATATGGAACCCCTATGGGCCACCTATCCGTTTCTCTAGAACATACATTAAGGAACAAAATGACATATCATTTTTGTTTTCCGGTGCAGTAACAAATTGTATACATTCAAAAATCAACAACTAGTTTATGAATTTCCTTGCAGTTAGAATAATTTTTCAACTAAGTAGGCTGTGGAATAAATGACATTTGACATCAAGATTGCACTTGTTTTGACCTGTTGAACTTGAATATGTAAAAATATACAGGGTGTTTCATTTGAAAAAACAAAATTGCTGGCATTTCCAGAAAAACCGGAAGTCCGCCATATTGGATTTTAATGTGATTAAATCCGAAATAGTTGCTTATATATAACTGTGCAGAATTTCAGAAAAATCCGATGACGAATGCAGAAGTTACAGGGGTGGCCCGATAACCTGTGTCACCCGGTATAAAGAAATACATTGAGAATTCGCATTTTCCATGTGATGAAAATATCAATTCTTTCACTTTTCTTCAATTGAAGTATAATTGCCCACCATTGGTAGATTTGATATTATCTATCAGCATTTTTTGAGTAGAAGAAAATTTCTCACAAGCTTTTTATCTGAAATTTTGAGTTATAACAGGAAAAAGTTTAAAAAATTGAAACTCGCAAACAGTGCTCATTTTATTCAATCTTCCATCTTACTAGTTTGGTATTTTTTATATTCAATATGTCTTAAAATTTTCTCGAATTATTGCATTATTATGTAGAACATAAATAAATTTCAAATACAATCATCAAAATATTCCAGGATAGGACTTCGGCATCACCTTATAGGAAACGCTTACTTGAGTTCTTGTTCTAAATTATTTACCCTCACTGAAATATTGATAGCACCGTGTATATAATTATCTCTGCTTTACAGTAGTTTCATAATTATCATGTTCAGACTTCAAACTACGGCATTTACAGCTTTTTCACATAGTTAATTCAGCATTTCAGGTCACATAAATACGATTTGATCAGATTTACGAAAGACCACAGCAAGATGTTTTCGACACAATTCGTACTGATTATTGTAGTTTGTTTGAATTTTTCTGTATGTGAAGAGAACCATGTCGAAATGATCGAATTGCTAAATGAATTCCTCGTCAAACAGAATTTTCCAGTCAAGGTAACTTCGTACTTGTGTTGGGCTAGGAGTAAGTGGATAATGGATACCTACTTTATATTAAACATTGGAAGATAAATTTTAACTCTATTTCTGATATGAAGATGATTTTCACAAATCACAATTTTTTCTTTCGAAAAATTTGTGACTTCAAACTGAAGACTCAAATCTGCTTTCGGTTTAGAGTTATTTTTGCTCATTGCTTGATGGGAGAAATACATCCTTGAGTCTCTTTATGTAAAATAGCAGACCTCGCAAACGTTGTTTTGCTATATACTTTATTTCTATAATATATTTTTTCAGTTCAATATTCATCAAGGCACTATTATTATTTTATTTTCAATATAGTTCTCTTTAGTTTCGCCATCTATAAAAGCGTGTTTCTTTAGTTTTTCAAACTACCATTTATTTCAACTTCTTTTTAGTTCACTTGAATCTCCCAATTTTGACGAAAAAATCATAATATCCGACTCCTAAAACCCCAGATAGAAATTTTGAATAGAATCGGAACATATAATTGCAGAACTCGTCCGCAATATTGGATCTACCATCTCCATTTATCTTCCTCTTATATTTAAATGACCTGGCCACTGTTCCCATTCAGGGAAGATTCACCATGTTTGCTGATGATCTACTATGGCACGGAAAAAATTGTGACAACATAAGAAATAATATTGTTAGAGACTTGGGAACGGTTCAGCAATGGTGCGAAGCTAATTATCTGTGTTTTAATCACAAAATAAAACAAATATAATGGGCTTTAGCTTGACTGCATTTAAGCTTAAACGGAAAAATTCTAGATAAGAAAAAGTGTACAAAGTTCCTAGGAATACCTTTAGACGAGAAATTGAAATTTGATCAGCATGTTGCAGCTCTAACTAAAAAATTGGCATCCGGATGTTATGCTCTTTGAATTGTCACTAATGCATTGAGTTCATCTACAGCAAAGATGGTCTATCACTCTCTGATCGAATCTCATATGAGATATGGAATAGCTTTCTGGGGATATTGTAGCCAACAACTTTTTCAATCAGTGTTACTGCAGAAACGTGCTTTAAGGTACTTAGGCAAGGTAGGTATTCGAGAGTCATGCAGACATTGCAGACCATCACTGTTTTCAAACTTAGGAATTCTCACTCTGACAAGTTTTATTCATATTGGAAACGGTATGTTTGTATCAAAAAATTTATGGCTGAGACTACAGTACAAACAAATCATGTGACCCGACAAATAACAGAGAGGAAAATTGCTCTACCAATTCCAAAATCCAGTTCGACAAAATTTTCTTTGTTATTTGAAAGTAAAAAGAGTTATAACCATATACCAACTGAACTAAGAACTATATAAAAGATCATAGTAAATTCAGAAAACTGGTGAAATATGCCCTTTTGAAAAGAGCCTACTATAATATTGAGGAATTTTACAATGAAACTCTGTTATGACCTCAACATGTACTACTTCAAATAGTAAATATATTATTGATCTGCTTTGATAATTGTTCACTTCAATTTACTGTATACCGTACTGTTTATTGTCCTTCAGAATAGAATCGGAAATTTCAAGAAATGTCCGATTTAATTCGCTATTGGGTACCAAAGGGACAAAAATCTACTAAAATTCATAAATTTCTTTGGTGATTTGTCAATCCCATATATTCCACTTCTAAAAATAATAACTTTATTTATTACTGACATACGCGCATAGCACTTTCAGAAAGAATTATAGAATAATATCAGGATCGAAAATATAGATTTTTTGCTTATCACCTGAAGAAAGAAATGCATCGTTGAGTTTCCTTATGTAAATTACTTACCTTCAGCCTGAATGTATCACGTGACCTAGCATTAATTGCCAATATAAGAAATAAGTTTCGTCTTTCAAATTCAGTAGTATTTCGAGGTCCTCTGATGTTGATTCAATTTCATTTTTAGAAGTACAACTTGACTTTTTCAAAAAGCTAGCATCCAATGGGTTCCAGACTTGTATCGGAAAATTCAATGAAAGCATCAACACCTATTTTCCAGAGCAATATCAACTATTCATGATAGATTTGGGTTGTGAAGGTTCAAAAGAAGTTATCAAGAAGGTAGGCAAATAAATGTTCAATATTATACGGGTTATTTTCAGCAAGGTTCCATTTTCATTATCAATTGCTATTCAGACTAAAATCGTAAAAACTTTAGGTAGGTGCCTACACGAGTTTATATAGGGTGCGTATAATTTGTGGACTGGACTAAAATGCTCTGCGGATTATGAAAAAACACATGGGTGAAGTGCTTCGCAGAAGAGCTGAGGAAACAGTTTAAGAACTTCCTAGCGTGTAATTTTACGCGATGAATAGATTTTTGTAAGAATTGAGATAATTTAACTATCCATTCCACGAGATTGTATGAAAAAACACAGGGGGAAAAGTGACCCCAGGGAGCTAGGAAAAAAATCTTAACTTCTTATCGTTTAAAAACAATGATTTATTTGCTGGAAATAACACTCCGCATCATTTTAATCTAGTCTGCAAATTATACCAAAGACTACAGAATAATAATATGAGTTGAAAATATCACTAAGTCGAAAATCTTCCAATAATAATATAGGTTAATAAACTTAGAAACCACTAAAGGCTGGGCCTTGAAAGTGTCGTTTGATAAAAAGCAAAAGGCATGTGACAGTATGTGACAACCATTCAAAGGTTTCGACAATTCATATAATACTAGATGTTAGACAGTAGTACATCAGTTTTTAAAAATGAAAAAAGGAAAATAATGGTAATACTAAAATTAGCTATTAGACAGTATCACAGTTTTTGAACATCAAGCATGCCTTTTCTCTAGAAAAGCCGATCTCACTGTGCCCAACATAAGCTTGTCAGGAGTAACCATACCTTTGAAGACATCCATTTCAATGCTTGTTATTACTATCAGCAATAACCTTCCTTGGGAAAATCACGTGAGATCAATTGCTAAAAGTGCATCCCAAAAACTTGGTTTCCTGCTGTTTCGGGCCAGGAGCTATTTCACTTCCAGTCAGCTGCTTATGATCTATAAGGCACAGATCCGACCTGTGCTGTAATACTGTTCCCATATTTAAGGTGCAGCACCCAAACATGAAACTGTTAAATTCTTTTAAAAAAAGGGCAATTCGTTTCGTGGGTGATGCCTCGCTCACAAACTCACTCACTTCTCTGGAACACCGTAGAAAAGTTGGCGATCTGTCTCTATTTTATAGATATTTTTATGGAAAATGCTCTTCTGAAATATCAACAATTGTTCCTTCCTTGGCAGTCCCCGTGAGATTAACACCAATTCCTATTCCTCATTTCCCTTGGTTCTCACGATGTTCTCTGAACATTACAGGATATCCCTTTTAGTGGGAACCAGAACATAAAAAAAATAAAAATAACTTAAGTTATACCTAGATACACTAAATGTCGTAACTCATGCAGAAAAAGTTGTGTCATACTTCACAGAATGCATATTGTGAATATTTTGTATATTGCAAATGGCGAATAGTCGTGAATGCAGAATGATGGATTCAATAATTTGGGACAGAAAGGGTTGGAGGATGCGAAATACAAACAATAAATGCGAAAGTGAGTTTTCATCGTCATTTATGAAGTACTGCTAAAAAGCACTCATCTTAATATAATTAATTAGGTAAATAATTCATCAGAATTTCCTGAAAATCTGTTACAGTTTTTAAGAAAGTAAAAAACATGTTCCTTTTTCACAACTGGTCGGCAGAATTTTCCAAAAACTTATGAGGGTTTATTCAATTCATTTCTCAAATGGGTTCATATTATGAAACGTGAAAATCGACTAATCGTCTAATCGATCTCTTTTCAGGCGAACCAATCAAAACTTTTCATCCATCCATTCAGATGGGTTTTTTTGCACAACACAGACTATTCGATATCACCAGACTTGTTCTTCGGAATAGACAGCAGAGTTTTTTTCATCGACAAACACGATTCGAGTTACCGTATCAAATCGCTGTACAAGATCGTAGAAAATACCAACACATTCATAGAGAATGACATTGCGAAATGGATACCCGATCAAGGTTTTACGAAATTGAACGTACTGAGCGAGCCAAAAAACAGGAGCGATTTGATGGGGACTGTCCTAAAAATTTGTTATGTGGTCACCAATAATGACACATTAAATCACCTAGAGGATTATAGGTAGGCACAAGTATATAATTTCATTTTTATAACCTCGTTGGACAACTTATGGGAACATTCAATTTTTCTCAATAAGTATGTTAAAAGTGCGATATGGAATATCATTATTGAAATAAACAGTTAGGTGGAATATCTGAGGCTATAATTTGTATAAGTAATAACTTTATTTACAAATTACGCCTTGTATATTTAAATATTTGAAAAATTACTTTCGCTTACGTGGGAGGAGTCGAGGAACACAAACTTTTGCTATTTTGCCGTAGTGACAACCTACGATAACATTGCTCTTGAGTTTCAGTAAATTTAGAGAAATTCCTGGTAACTAAGCAATGAAACCTCATGGATATCTGATATCCGGTGAGTTTTCCTATTTTTTTTTCTTTCCAGAAACATACATATAGACCCGATTCCCAAATTGAGTTGGAAATTAGTAAACCATGCTCTGATGACGATTTTGAACGCAAGTTCAATAATTGATTTCAAATCCACCTGGGGTTATAGAAATTCAACTACAAATATTTTCACGGGCATGATTGGAGATGTACAGACAGGGAAGGCTGATTTGGGAGGTAAACTTTTTTCATCTACTCACTGAATCGGAAGTGGGTGCTTGCTGTACAATTACTTCCCGTGGGAGGGGAAATATATTGGCTTTAGCATGCTTCCTTGGCGTGTAATTCAACTAACTACTATTATAGTTAATACAGGTTATTCATTCAATGAGAGAGCAAGAGTAAGAGTATCAATTCCTATCACTTCAGGAGTTTAATCATTTTTATTACAACTTGGCAACATGCTGTAATTGAGACAGGTACAGGGGCGGATCGAGAGGACAAATCGGCCCAGACGATTGAACAGCACATCTAGCCTTCTGGATTTTCCTGGCGCAATATATACAGTTTGATCAATAACACCACCTTGTTAAACAAATCTTTTTTTACTTCAATTTAGACGAATCTTCTGAAACGGATGATAATCAAAACCATTCAAAACATAACTACTCATATTTATAATTTGAGGTTGTCTGCACATATCGATCATATTTCATTTTGCAAACGACACTGACTGAATGAATATGAATATGAAGATTTTTTTTCAACAAGGTACCTACATCTATTGTGTAATACATATAGACAAAAAAGGATGGATATTTTGGATATTTTCATTTTCGAATCCATATCGATGAATAGCAAATGGGAATACATCTCAATTATTCAAGCCCAGGGTTGTTGAAGAAACAAAAGTATTCATGTTCGCATCTGATAGGCTATCCATAAAATACCTATATCTTCTAATCTAAAGGATGCCCCTTTTGCGATCATCAATGAATATTTCATGAATATTCTTCTGAAGCCCAAGAAAAATGTAAACGTACGAGTATTATTTGGAAGATCATAATTTTGCACTAGAACGTAAATGATGTAATTTTTATGAATTCTATGTTTGGATATCTCGTTCATGATATATTATCTTCTGAAGGATATGGATGTATTTAGGATATTCTGTTTTGTGTGCTGCACATATAAAATGGACAAACATCTTTGAGGCAAAACTTAACTTTCTTTGGTACAAAGTTGTATGATTTCATGGCAAGACATTTCATTTTTATTGTGATATTCAGAGATTTCGGCTTAAAATCATACTTCTTCAAAGAACATTGAGGGAAAGTCGAAGCAAAAATCCTTTAATTTCCCAATAAACAATGGTTTTCGATCAAACTTATGAAAATAGTGTTTGGAAATTATCGAGTGACAAAAGCCTTGGGAGTATTCCTCCCAAACAAATACGAAAACACGAAAACACACCTATTATAGTAATTTTATTCCTTTAATTGTTTCTTTAGATGAATCCATTGAAAACATAAATTTTTGGCCTCTTGACTTTTTCTCCTTTGTTCACGAAAAACTATAGAGTTTGGGAGGTACCTATATATACTGAAACAATAGTTATTCATTATACAAGGGAAAAAATTAGTAGATTTCAGCTCGAGGTTTTGTTGTCTCCCGGCGTGTAGCGGAGGGAGACAACACTATTTTTTGGCAACCATGTAGAATAACAAATCAACATTTCCATATTATATTTCTTTGTAGAATACAATTTCTTCTTTATTAATTCTCATTTGTATCAAATACTGAAATTTGAACAGAATACCTATACCTACTAACTGTTACATTGGAAAAAAGTAATTTTTGAAAAATGACACTTTTGTAACCTGTCATCAGAAAGGAAATGTCAAGTTTTCTTCCCGTCACAAAGAAGCGGTATTTTATGAACTTCTAGGTACACCATGCTTCTTCACAGCCGACAGAATGGACATACTAGAATTTTTCGCTCCCAGTGCCCCGACCCACATGCGATTCATATTTCGAGCTCCACCCCTCAGTTACACCACCAACATTTTCACCCTTCCTTTTCACACGTACGTGTGGTACAGTATTTTCTTATTGCTGGGCATAATTTTTTTCGTCACGTACGTGATAGTGAAGTGGGAGTGGAAAGACCCTGTTTTCCGGAGGAAAATCGAGGAAATGCAAGAAATCTCCGCGACTCCGATGCCGATCAATGCGACCTTCGTCGATGTTTTCATGATGGAAATGGGGGCTATTACACAACAGGTGAGATTATGTGGATGTTAATATACTAAGTGATCCACATAAGAACCAAAATACTAAAATTATCAAGAACCGGCGATTTTATCTGGAATGAGTAATAATATGTTCTTTAAATGGAGTTCCGATGCTTCGGCGTATTTGCCCGATATATTCCCAGCGAGCACAAACATCCCTGGGATGTTTTGGGATGTTTTGAAAATGTTGGCATGAAGATGTTATTTTGAGACGACACGAGTAGAACATACGGTATATCAGTAATTTCGAACCATGAGGGTTTTATGAACATAAAGTAAATCAAATCATCCGTTGACATTGAATTATAAAATCTGACCAAGGAACTCTCATGAGAAACGTGCATATCTAATAAAATGTTGTATATAAATATTGGATGTGAGGGTTCCGAAGTTAGTCTGGTCTGGGGCTACTCTTGACTTGACAAGAGCTCGTCGTAATGGTCGTTATGATGTAAGTTGTTATTAGGTCTTTATATTCATTGTTGTTTATTCATATTCGTCATCACTTCACCCATAATGTTTCATGCTGTTATAAATACTGTTATGTTTGAATGTAGTCTCTGAGTCTCTTACTTTCAGCTACCCCTAAACTATTAGTGCCTATTTGAATATAACCTCTCGCAAAATATTAAGCCAAGCTTTACCCCTATGAATCGATATGGATGGGTTAACCATCATCTATATCGTGACATGGTGGAGGTGACAATCTATCTTTGATCGTGACAATATGCACTGACCAAAGAGGTCTTTCAAGGATATTGTAGTATTGTTTTTGTTCTTCTGTGGCATTTCTTTGTTTGCCTACTGGAGAGGTATCCCTGGGATGTTTTGGGATGTTTTAGAAATGTAGGCATGAGGATGTTTTTTTGAGGCGTGATATGCACTTCCCAAAGAGGTCTTAGAAGGATATTGAAAGTGTTGTTTTTGTTCTTTTGTGCCCTTTCTTTGTTTGCCCCACCACGACGTCTCATGCTTACGTCACAAAACGATGAATTCTGATTTGTTTTCGATTTTGTTCTTCTTGTTCGCAATTGGCATTCGCGTTTGCTGCGTGTCACGCTTACATCACGCTGCTAACGAACAGAAAGGAATTTGGTGAAGTTTATTGTTTTAGAAGACTTATTTAGTTTGTAATAATGACCATCAGATGCAAGATGTGTTGTTCGGTGCCTCAGTGTAATCAATATATAAAAGTACGAATTCATCAATACACAGCTTCTCCGCAGTTGCAAAATTATGCATTGTGGAGAACATTTCAAAAATTGGGAAACCTATTTCCAATTATATATGTCTGTGTGTAGATTAAGAAGGTAATTTCATATCAAGAAAATATTTGTATGTTCAATCTATTTTTAATGCATTTTTTCATTCAAGGGAAATGGAATCCTAATGCAAAAGTTCATTTTGACAGAAGGCTTCAGAAAAGTACCTCGAAAATGTTTTTTACAGCGATTTAATGTGCGCAAGACGCGTTGAAAATGTTCTGTTGTGTCCATGAAAAGGCTTTAAAAAGAACTAGGGATAAGGTAATTTTGTGACATATCAAGGACATCTCGATAATTGCCGCCTGCGGCGATCATTGGCTGTTCTATAATAGTTCTATTCATGTGTGAACAGAACATCGCAGTGGAGGTTCAATGTCTCGAAATCTCGTACTTTTAACATCTCTGAGATGTTTTTGTGCTCGCTGGGTTCCATGTTACAGAGACATTACAATTCATTTTATAAATATCAATTTCATATTTAGTGTTGCCTAGAAGACCATGAATGCTATATTTGCAGTGAAAGCTACGTTCAGCCGTTGCCATTTGAAAATACCATTCATATTCTTCGGCATCAAGAGGATTCTTTACAAATCTTTCAACTTCTAAAGTTGTGATTTCACGAATATAATTTCTACTAGTAATTTCTGGAGAATATCCCGAAAGATTTTTGCATCCTTTCATCCCATAAAAAAGTAATTTATTATACAAGGGAAAAAAGTAGTAGATTTACTACTTGAAGGCAACATATTATTATGGTCATTTATTATCCACCTGATGATTTGAAGCTACGGGAATCGCACCGTCGGCCAAGCACCCCAGCGAGCACAAACATCCCTGGGATGTTTTGAAAATGTTGGCATGAAGATGTTATTTTGAGACGTAATATGCACTGACCAAAGAGGTCTTTGAAGGATATTGAAGTATTGTTTTTGTTCTTCTGTGGCATTTCTTTGTTTGCCTACTGAGAGGTATCCCTGGGATGTTTTGGGATGTTTTAGAAATGTAGGCATGAGTATGTTTTTTTGAGGCGTAATATGCACTTCCCAAAGAGGTCTTAGAAGGATATTGAAAGTATTGTTTTTGTTCTTTTGTGCCCTTTCTTTGTTTGCCCCACCACAACGTCTCATGCTTACGTCACAATACGATGAAATCTGATTTGTTTTCGATTTTGTTCTTCTTGTTCGCAATTGGCATTCGCGTTTGCAGCGTGTCACGCTTACATCACGCTGCTAACGAACAGAAAGGAATTTGGTGAAGTTTATTGTGTTAGAAGACTTATTTAGTTTGTAATAATGACCATCAGATGCAAAATGTGTTGTTCGGTGCCTCAGTGTAATCAATATATAAAAGTACGAATTCATCAATACACAGCTTCTCCGCAGTTGCAAAATTATGCATTGTGGAGAACATTTCAAAAATTGGGAAACCTATTTCCAATTATATGTCTGTGTGTAGTAAGCACTACTCAGAAACCGATTAAGAAGGTAATTTCATATCAAGAAAATATTTTTATGTTCAATCTATTTTTAATGCATTTTTTCATTCAAGGGAAATGGAATCCTAATGCAAAAGTTCATTTTGACAAAAGGCTTCAGAAAAGTACCTCGAAAATAGTTTTTTACAGCGATTTAATGTGCGCAAGACGCGTTGAAAATGTTCTGTTGTGTCCATGAAAAGGCTTTAAAAAGAACTAGGGAGAAGATAGTTTCGTGACATATCAAGGACATCTCGATAATTGCCGCCTGCGGCGGACATTGGCTGTTCTGTAATAGTTCTATTCATGTGTGAACAGAACATCGCAGTGGAGGTTCAATGTCTCGAAATCTCGTACTTTTAACATCTCTGAGATGTTTCTGTGCTCGCTGGGACACGGTTCTGAAAATTCGAACTCTGAGCGATCGTCGAGTTAGTATGCGAGCCAGTGAGAATCATTTCTTGTCTTCGGTTCGCTCTCGACATTTTCAGTTCGACTAGTGGAAAACGCTATTGCTTCATCCCGATTTTTTTGACAGGGAACAGATTCCGAACCGAAAAGCAATTCCGGCAGGATCGTTACGATTTGTACATTCATAGCCCTGATGTTCATATACACGTCTTATTCTGCGAATGTAGTGGCATTGCTTCAGTCAACTACCGATAGCATAAGGACCTTGGAGGACCTGTTGAATTCCAGAATATCACTCGGATTTGACGATGTCGTTTACATCCATCACTACATCAAGGTGAACGGTAATGTAGAGAAATAATGTTTAGTTTTGAATTCACTCTGTCGTTACTTGATAGGTTCCTGAGTTATTGGAACCATCAAGAGAAAAGTTACCTTCGTTATGATATTACTCATATGTTTTAGACGATAGAGGAACCAGTAAGAAAAGCAATTTACCAGCAAAAAATAGCACCAAAAGGGGAAAAACCACACTTCATGAATCTCGAAGAAGGTATGAGTAGGGTGAGGAAAGGTTTTTTCGCTTTTCATGCTGAGCTTTCCACGGGTTACAAAGTGGTGGCCGATACTTTCCAGGAGCACGAAAAATGCGGATTGAAAGATATCGAATATTTCACTACCTTGACTGCACCTTGGTTTACTATGAGAAAAAGGTCACCATACAAGGAGCTTCTCAAAGTTTCGTGAGTATATTTTTCTCATATGTGATACATATAGGATCCAATAACTTGGTAGATTTCAATGCAAACAAAACACAAGCATGCCTTTCCTCTAGAAAAGCCGATCTCACTGTGCCCAGCATAAGCTTGTCAGGAGTAACCATATCTTTGCTAACAGTGCATCCCAAAAACTTGGTCTTCTGTTTCGGGCCAGGAGCTATTTCACTTCCAGTCAGCTGAGACTCGTTCATCCAACGAACAGCGAGGCTCTGGAACACATTGCCAAGGGAGGTGTTCCCCGAGGCATATAACCTCCAGAAATTTAAGAAGAACACCAATTCCTACCTTATTTCCCTTGGTTCTCACGATGTTCTCTGAAACAGGATATCCCTTTTCGTGGGAGCCAGAACATATAAAAAAATGCTGGGGCGATGGTTGGTGTTATCTGGGTTCTGGGTAGCAATAAAAAATTAAAATGTCATGTTTTAATCATAATTAAGTATCTACATATTTTCTTTATTCAGATTTCAGAAATTTCACGAATCGGGCACTAAGAACAGGGAAATTGGGCGATTATATATTAAGAAACCAATTTGTCACAACAAAGGTAGCAGTTTTGGCAGTGCAGGGTTTTTGGACTGCTATGCAGCTTTTTTGATATTTGGCATTGGTGTTGGTTGTAGTCTTACTGTATTCTTGTTGGAAATCTTATCAATAAAATATCTTGAGAATAGAAGGAAAATATGATGTTATCTTGAAGCATTATTCATTTGAATCAGTTCTAATCTAACTTCAGGTAGATATTAGATATATGAAACATGTTACATTGCTTTTAGGATTAAATAGTCGATTCCGCCGAAATATTTTTTTTCACTCCGTACCTAACCTACTTTAATAGCTCTAGAACACACCATATTTTCCCAAACCAAACTGATATATAATGCTATATGTATAGAGATTTTCGGGTATATTCTCAGTTGTGCAGCACTACCTCAATCAACGGTCTTGTGATTCTCGCCAACTTTAAATAATAATTAATGACCCCAGTGTTCCTACAAAAGCTCAAAAGCTATACTGGGTGACACAGGGTATCGGACCAGCCCTGTAACTTCTGCATTCATAAATGTATTTTTCTTCCAAACTTTGTCAATTTCGAAGAGTTCGAAACAAGCGCAAGCTACATATCGAATGTACTTTTTTAGAAAACATTCAAATTCAAACTGTTTTTTATTTTACCTCGTGGATATATAAAGGAGATGGGCTATATACGCAATGAGCCGCACATATACTAGAGGAAAATTATTTTTGGTAGAACCCCTATGAGCCATCTATGTCTCTAGAGTCTATCTACATTAAGAAAAAAATTACATATCATTTTTGTATTTCGGTGCAGTAACAAATTTTTGGGCTGTCTGCAAAGAAAAGTTAATGTATTCGAGGTTTTCAAGGTAACCGTATAACTTTCAATCTATGCTAGGAGTTAGGAATGTTTTCCCCCAGTTTAAAGGTCATCGCCACGTCACATTATGACCTTGATAATCGCGAATAATATAGGTATATACCTACTCTTGCCTTACTTCTCCAAAAAGTCGACATTTACTCCCATTTTCCAATAGAAAATCGATATTCAGCCAAATTTTCCATCTAATCGAACAATGTTCTCATTTTCCTTGCTCAAATGTTAATCAGAACTAATTTTCTTGGTTCCCGACCCTTAAGCCGGTCCTGTGTAGGGTCCCGTAGCTCATCACAGCGGCGGGTAAAATATTTTTTTCGTTGCCACAAATTAAAGCTGTTTTTAAATGAATTCTTGATGGTTCAAAAATTACCTATATATCCATTTTGGGACATGAGAGTATCGAATATTGGTAAGTTTCCAGACCACCCATGAGGCATCCATGGCTGGCTACTTGTTTTTAGTGGGTGTTCGCCAATAGCCCTATCGTCCCACATTTGAAATATGAATATAAAATTGAACTTAATCAAAATTCTCAACAAAATTAATTATGAATGTAACATTGACTCAATGAAGATTCTCAATAAAATTAAATAAAAATGAAACATTGAACCTAATGAAAATTCTCAACAAAATAAAATAAAACATAAAAACTTAATAAACATTACCTATCAGTATATAGTAGAAGGAACTTCAAGATATGTAATTATGTAACAATATGAATAAGTACTATGGAAATGCCGATAATTCTGAATTTCTCAGTCTGAAGAGCGAAAAGGAATTTTTTTTTCAAAACAAAATTGTATTTAAACTCGACGACGATAGCATGTTGGTGCCACATAGAAAAAAAAAATATTTTGAGAAAAAACTCGAAATTTTGAGAAAAAAGTTGCCATTTAGAGAAATATATTGAAATTTTGAGACAAAAGTCGGAATTTTGAGAATAAAAAGTCGAAATTTCCCAGTACCTCTGATTATTCTCACCTCATTGAGTAAGGATATTGCCTCGATGGTAACGGTAAGGATCGGGGATTACCTCTGTTGAATAATAACTGCCAAGACATCTTGAAAAATAGTTAATTAATATTATTGAGAAATATTATTATACAAGGGGAAAAAGTTGATTTTAGCTCGAGCAGGTTGTATTGTCTCCCGACGCATAGCGGAGTCATTATTTATGCATACGGATAATCTCTATCTGTTTCCATAGCGAAACATAAAGCCGATTTTTGAAGACAAATGACTATCCATAAGGAAAAGTGAGATACGATCAGACACATACTGCTTTGATTGAAAGGCTAGTAAACGTCATTGTCCACCGAAACGCATGTCTTTGATGACTACGTCTCATGCCACCAAATCCTTATGGATATTCATTTGTTTCATATTTTTGGCTTCATCCTGGCACCCGTTATGATCCGTATTGTTTATTAATACGTATATGTTCAAGACTGGACTGGAGTGACTGGCAACACTGAATTATTCTGTGACAGGATTGTGACACTGTGACAGGGACAGGTTCAAATGACAGATTAGAGAACAGTGAAAAAAAAACAGAACACAGGAAAACACTGAAAACTGTTAAGCTGATTAACGTGATTACACGGATTCTAGGAGAATCATTTTATACATCAATCAATGAGGCGTATGGGCCGGTCGTAAGGTATTCTGTGACATTATCATCAGTTCTACCAACCTTGGCTGATCTAGTCCTAAGAGCCATCTAGTGGCAGAAGTACAAAGGTGTATAAGTAGATTGTTCAAACAACAAAAAGGCAAAAATGCCACAATTCTGCAGATTATCACAACACCGTAATTCTCACAGTGGTTCAATCTCCCACCGACAGATGGTGAGGAACCTAAAATCTCAAATAACCTCATTTCAGAAACCTTCCAAATATTTCATATTCAGAAAACGAAAGACTATTAACCGAAATAACCCAGTTGATTTACGGAACATAGCCATAGTGAGGGGTGTTTGCGATTTATTTAATAATGTAAAAAATATACTACGCCACTGCCCACTGGCAATTTGGCAACTAACTTCATACCGGTGCTGGCGATGCTTGTGCTCAGTTAAGTTGCTCACAGCTCACAGCTTTGTGCTTGATGTTTTGACTTTTGAGGCTATTTCCTATTTTCATCAATATTTTCAATTTTCATGTGTACATTAATACGTTTTAGTATTCAGTAGCTTGAGCTTGAGTAGCTTACTACTTACTAGCTAAGTAACTAATCACTTCCAGCAGGTCAATTGTTCATTTGCAAGGAAAATTATGATATAGATATCATATATTTACATTTTGATTTTATTCAAATCAAATTAATCAATTGAGATCAAGAAGTGTTAAGATTGAAAACACCAGTTCATCATGTACCGAACAGACAAGCAATTCATGAAAAACCCGGCTACTGCTGGAGCGAGAATTTATGTGGGTAATCTGCCAAAAACAGTGGTAGCAAATGACCTAGAAGAAATATTCAAACAACATGGAAACGTGGTGGGTTTGTCGGTAAATCTGGGTTTTGCTTTTATCCAATATGAGCATGACCAAGAAGCCCAAACGGCAATTCAGAAAGAGAATGGCACCATTATTTGCGGAAAAAAAATCATGGTGAAACAAGCTCTGGACAAAACAAAACCACTCAATCCTAATCAGAATACAGGCCCAAGACCTCCTATTCAGAGAGGAGGTCCACCTGCTCCTCCACAGAAACAAGGTCCTCCACCTCCATCCCTACCAGTTCAAGATACATCTAAACCTAGTAATCCTCCCTCACAGCAACCTCCTCATGGTCTTCCTGGTATAAAAAATCTACCAGAACCAAAATTCAGCAAACCAGACAAAGAAGATTTTAATGATGAGATAATAGAGGATGGTAGACCTAATATTCGTCCTCCAGGTCCACCTCAACATGATGATAGGGGGCCAAAGGGTGGTAGAATGGGAGGACGTGGAGGAGGCAGAGGCAGGCCAAATGATCATGAACGGTTCACTGGTAGATTTGAGCCTCCACCAAAGATGGATATGTATAGGGATAGAGATCCTTACTTTGGTAGAGACAATAGAGACTTTGGGCCACCTCAGAGAGAACCATTCATGCCACCACCTATTATTGAACCTATTCCTGCTCCAGAGAAAAATGATTGTGAAATAATTGTTGTTTCTAAAGCATTAACGTGAGTATCAACTTCAATTAAAACACTTTAGGAAACTTGTCTTATAATTTGACATAGGTGATTCAATTATTGTTCATTTGTAGTGAATATGCAGAGTTCATTGAACAGAAGTTGAAGAAACTTGGACTTATGGTTGACTTGCTTTTTCCAAATGAAGATGTTCCAATAGGAAAAGTCCTTGCAAATATATCTAGTAGAGGATGTTTGTATGCCATCTTGGTTATGCCAATCAATGAAGAACACAGAAGTTTAACTTTGAATGTTCTTCATGGTCTTACTCAAGGTAAAATTCTACATTTTGTAACAAGGGTGAACCAATCAAAAGGTGATTCACAATAGGCAAAAACACAGCTATTTGAATCTAGTTTTCCATACTGTAAAGGTATTGATGTATGTAATTAGTAACAGGCTTTCAAGATCTTTCAAGTATGAAATGAGAAACAGATCTATAAAAATTGATTTATATTGGTATTAATGGTGGGTGAATAAAGTCTGCTGAATATAAACATTTAGATACTTGAATTTACCATGATTTATTTATTTATTGGCTTTTAACTTTTTTTACATATTTTTTTCAGTATTTTCGCATAAAATTTCTCCTTGAAAGGATGTTTTGTATTATTTCTATTTTTGTGACCATATGTTTCTCTAGTAATCTCTATCTTATGTGCTTCAATTATTATAACTTGAAAACTTTTTGGGATTTTGGGTAACAGAACAAAAATTCAGTCAATAATTCAAAAACAACATAAGGAATTTCCACACATTGATGGAATAATAATAATAATAAAGTACTTTATTGAATAACAATGTTCAAATGGCTATTGATCAAAGTCCTTCTGCCAATGACATATTTTCTTCTAATATTCCTTTAGGTGTTAGCCTGCATGAGATATAAACATTTGATGGTATTTCAGCTTAGGTTGCTAAAATACATACAACAGATTTATTTTTCAAATTGTCTGATGAAGTCACTTTTTCATGTGTTGTTTTCATCTATGCTTCCACTAAATTTCCATAGCAAAATAAAATCTTCCTAGAATTCAAGTTACATAAAGTAATCACCTTGGTTATCACTGATTGATTAATTACAATGTATTCAAACTATTGATTTAATTTCAATTTGGGGTGCACCAATTAAATATTGTAGAATTTGTAATTGTTTTATTAATTCATTCTTTGGAAAATTTCAATTTGAACCTGAAATTTCAGAACACAGAAACATGCCAGTAGATGATGCAATGATTTTCATTTCTCGAAATTTTGAATCATATATGAAAGGTGAACATACACCTTCTGATCAGACAGGACAAATGACATTATTGGATCGCCACCCAGTTCAAATACAGGTATGTTCAAAATCATGTGATCTATATTCCTCAAAATGTACATATTTTCACAATTAGAGCCACAAAATATAAAAGAGTGAAAGGAGTTGCATCTAGAGCTGCATACATACAGTGTAACCATCCTTGTATTCTGGAGTAGAATGAATAATTGGAGAAAGTTGAACATTTTTTTATATTTGTTGATAGCAGTTACTGTCAAGTTGAGTGTCATTTGTCTATTGCATCTTCTGTTAATGTCAATTATAATTAGTTTGAGGAAGGAAAGGCCCATGTAGTTTTTCTTGCTCTAATTTTCAATAATTAACAATTCAACAGTTTTTGATCTCCTCTGTAGTAGAGTTCCTAAATGTTTTTGACACTGCTGTTTTGACGTTCTTTGTATATTATGTAATACAGGGTGTCCGGAAATTATGTGCAAAAAATCAAGGGGGTGATTCTGCATGTGAAAACATGAAATTTATTTCATATATACTTGGGTCCGGAAATGCATAGTTTTCAAGATACAGTGTGTTGAACTTTTTATAAAAAATCGGTTTTTTATGAATATCTCAAATATCCTTCCACCGATTCCCTTGAAATTTGGCAATGATATTCTTCGTCATGAGGGGCTGATTTAACCATAATTTAAATTGGAATTGCGAAATCCAGTGGCGCCCCTGGGGCACCCTACCGAATATGATTGTCAATAAAATGTGCGCCACTGATTTTTTTGAATTCTTCATCTTCATATCCTGATGATTAACTGAAAATACAACATTTTGATCTCCTGAAATGTTTTGCTATTTTGCCGCGTTTCCGTGGAAAAAAATAAATACCAATTCATTGTTTGTGCAAAACATTGCTTCAAAAACAGGGGTGAAATTAAATGTGTGATCCATGTCCATAGACGTAGAATAAGAATGGAGATTCATTTTCTTCAAATTTTTTATAATACATGTTTGACACACTTTGTATTATCGAAAACTCGCCTTCCTGGACGGAGAATACATAGTTCTCAATATACTGAGTGTAGAGTGTGTCAAACATGTATTATAATATATTTGAAGATGATTATTCTTCATTCTTATTCTACGTCTATGGACATGGATCACACATTTAATTTCACCCCTGTTTTTGAAGCAATATTTTGCACAAATTTATACAATGAATTGGAATTTATTTTTTCTACCGAAAAGCAGCAAAATAGCAAAACAATTCAAGAGACCAAAATGTTGTATTTTTAGTTATAATAATAATATTCGGTAGGTTGCCCATCGGGACGCCACTGTATTCCAAGATTCCAATTGAATTATGGATATATTAGCCCCTCATGACAAAAATATTATTGCCGTATTTCAAGAAAATCGGTGGAAAGACATTTGAGATATTCATAAAAAACCGATCTTTTTTAAAAGTTTCAACACACTGTATGTTGAAAACTATGCATTTCCGGACCTAGGTTCATATGAAATGAATTTCTTATCTCATTATGTAGAATCACTCCCTTGATTATTTGCGCATAATTTCCGGACACCCTGTATACAAAAAACGTCGAAATCAGCAGTGTCAAGTACATTTAGGAACTCTACTCTGTAGTAGACCTCACATTATGAAATGTCTAACTTCTGAAAATATACAGGGTGTCCGGAAATTATGCGCAAAAAATCAAGGGGATGATTCTGCATGAGAAAACCTGAAATTTATTTCATATGTACGTGTATACAGTGTGTTAAACTTAAAAAAAAAACGGTTTTTCATGAATATCTCAAATATACAAACTTTTCTTCTTATTTTGACGTCAGCAACATGTTCCTGAATTTTCTGGTAATTTTGCACTTATCATGCGATGGGTTTTTTTTTCGAAAAATTTTTTTGGTACTTACGTATTTTTGTCTGAAAAACACGAATTTGATAATGAAAATGTGAACAAACCACTATTTATCGAGATATTTCAAGAAAAAGTTCGGAATTTTGCCTTCTTTTCCCCCTTCTGTTGGATGCATTTACAGGTACTTGCTCTTTTTATTTTGTCATTGGACACTTTATATACTCATGATGTACTTCAATGACACGTTTCAAGATAGAAAATCCAACAGGAAATATGATTTTTATGCCGAATTTTCCCTATTTAGTGAGCAAGCATACCAGATGACGGCCATTTAATCCATAGGCAATCCAAATACGAGATGTCAAATGTCAATAAATTGCTTTGGAATGACATTACACACGCCATTATTTCAAATGATATTCTTCCTTCTTTTCACTAAACATTGATAAATCACAAGAAAATCATATTTCTAGTTGACTCGTATAATAAAAAAAATGTATCCCACATTGTGTGATATATATAAATTGTCCAATGGTGGAAAAAGAAGGGAAAATTGTTCTAAATGCGATCCAGAATACAGGCGGAAAAGAAGGTGAAATTTGTAACTTTATAGTGAAATATCTCAATAAATAATGGTTTTTCACATTTTCATTATCAAATTCGTGTTTTTCAAACAAAAATACGTAAGTACCAAAAAAATTTTCGAAAAAAAAACCATCGCATAAGTGCAAAATTACCAATTTTCTACACGTACTTAAGAAACACCTATAGTACTCAAGAAATAGTTATTTGTTTAACTAGGCAACTTGTTTAACGCTACGCTCGGCTACGAATTCAGCCTCGGCAGTCAATCTATTTTGCTGCCGAGTTGAACATATAATTTTTTGTCCGATTGTTCATATTGATATATTATATCTCTTTATTTTTCCTGTAGTGTTCAATTGAAATAAAATTTGATCGAAATCTCAGTTATTGGAATGGTTGGATGCTATGGAAATGTCCATAATAATTATAGTTTGACAATTCATGAAATTTCTGACAGTTGTGCGAAAAATATCGGTATATTTAAATTATTATATAATGGACAGTGATAGCGGCCTGGAAGTACTTAAACCTCCAGAAATAAGGGAGGTGGCAAAAAGTATTGAGTTGAATTTGTTGCCGGAGAAGTCTCGGATGAAATATGAAGGAAATTATAAACGATTTATGGATTATTAATTTTGCTGATACATATCAATCAGCAAAGTAACCATTTTGCTGCCTAGGCAGCAAAGTACCCACTTTGCTGCCTAGGCACTACTAGGCAGGAAAAGTAATACTTTGCGGATTGATATGTATCAGCAAAATTAATATTTGCTGCCAATCGGACGAAAACTCATTTTTCTTGGCAAAAATTCTTTTTTCCATGAAAACATGTTTGCAGATGTTGTTGAGTATGCTCGTTGAAAACCGTCAAATCTCAACGCCCCAATATGACAGACTAATGAAGTATTTGCAAGAGAGAAGAGAATTGCAACAGGAGTACGAAATAGCAGAGGGCATAACTCCGGAAGACGAGTCTGATTCCAAGAAAGCGGAACTGCAGAACAGAATAATGAATATTCTGAACAAGTCTGCCGACGTGCCCATCCCCACGTCCATAACAGCCCCAGATCCTGTCCCAACCTCGGAGCCTACTCCGATCTTGAAGGATCCCACGGTTCAGAAGGCTCTGGACAGTTTGATGTTGGGCGATATGTTCAAAAACATGGCCGGCTAGATGGTCCCAGATAACACCAACCATCGGTCCAGCATTTGTAACGTACAGGGTGATCTGTTAAAACTTTTCTATAAGTGATGATCATGATCATAAGGGGTGGGTAATTTATATTGAACCACCCTGTACATAAATGAAAGTTGACACCCTGTACATGCAATGTGTTTTACGATTCTCGAAACATTGACTTTATAGAATTTAAGGTTATAACATTTGTATTCATTCTTTATGTTTAGTAAATAATGAGTGAATATTTGGAGTGTTTTATTATTGAAGAACTAAAATATCAGGGATCTTTCACTATTTTACTGTTACTATCATGAACGGTGCTCTGCTAGCTGAAATACTAGCGTTTTTCTAGTAGAATTTGTCCACGATTCTCTTCTTGTGCGTCAACTTACTAGAACATTCTTGAATAATAAAGAAATTATTCCATAAATATTTTATTTACATAGTCGAAAACAAAGCACTAACTAAAGTGATTGGATAATTATTATTTTAACACAATGTACAAAAATTCTCTTAACATGAAACATACACGGCTACCAGTGATACACGGGAAAATAAAATAGCTATTGGTATTTGGTCAACATAAAGGATGAGTCAGTTCTTAGCAGAACATGGACAACGACAATCATTTGAATACTTTTTTATGAACATTGGTAGTAAAACGTACGACGCGTCTGAACTGCCATCCTAAAAATTTTTTTTTTTTTTCAAGAACATTTGCCTAATTTACAGTTAGGCGGGAGTAACTTTTTTTTCAAAACACCTCCCAATTTACAGTTGTAACTGTAAATTAGAACAAGAACTTTTTTTCAACACATCTCCTAACTTACAGTTGCAACTGTAAATTCGAGTCTCACAGTCTCAGCGTATAGCGTGCTATCGAAGAATGAAAGCTGCCTATGTCTAGTAGTCTAGTCACAGATTAACCCAACTGTGGTCTAGTGAGAAATTGTGAGAACTGAGACTGTGAGATTCTAATTTACAGTTGCAACTGTAAATTAGATGTGTTGAAAAAAAATTAGACCTAATTTACAGTTGCTTCTGTAAATTAGATGTGTAGAAAAAAAATTCTCTTGATCTAATTTATAGTTGCAACTGCAAATTAGCCCTAACTTACAGTTGCCGCTGTAAATTCGAGTCTCACAGTCTCAGTTCTCACAATTTCTCACTAGACTACTAGACATAGGCAGCTTTCATTCTTCGATAGCACGCGATACGCTGAGACTGTGAGACTCTAATTTACAGTTGCAACTGTAAATGTAGAAAAAAAAATTCGCTTGATCTAATTTGTAGTTGCAACTGCAAATTATTCCTCATTTACAGTTGCAACTGTAAATTAGAGTCTCACAGTCTCAGTTCTCACAATTTCTCATCAGACTACCAGACATAGGCAGCTTTCATTCTTCGATAGCACGCGATACGCTAAGACTGTGAGACTCTAATTCACAGTTGCAACCGTAAATGTAGAAAAAAAAATTCGCTTGATCTAATTTATAGTTGCAACTGCTAATTATCCCTAATTTACAGTTGCCGCTGTAAATTCGAGTCTCACAGTCTCAGTTCTCACAATTTCTCACTAGACTACCAGACATTTCATTCTTCGATAGCACGCGATACGCTGAGACTGTGAGACTCTAATTTACAGTTGCAACTGTAAATGTAGAAAAAAAATTCGCTTGATCTAATTTGTAGTTGCAACTGCAAATTATTCCTCATTTACAGTTGCAACTGTAAATTAGAGTCTCACAGTCTCAGTTCTCACAATTTCTCATCAGACTACCAGACATAGGCAGCTTTCATTCTTCGATAGCACGCGATACGCTAAGACTGTGAGACTCTAATTCACAGTTGCAACCGTAAATGTAGAAAAAAAAATTCGCTTGATCTAATTTATAGTTGCAACTGCTAATTATCCCTAATTTACAGTTGCAACTGTAAATTCGAGTCTCACAGTCTCAGTTCTCACAATTTCTCACTAGACTACTAGACATAGGCAGCTTTCATTCTTCGATAGCACGCGATACGCTGAGACTGTGAGACTCTAATTTACAGTTGCAACTGTAAATGTAGACAAAAAAATTCGCTTGATCTAATTTATAGTTGCAACTGCAAATTATTCCTCATTTACAGTTGCAACTGTAAATTCGAATCTCACAGTCTTAGTTCTCACAATTTTTCACTAGACTACCAGACATAGGCAGCTTTCATTCTTCGAAAGCACGAGATTCGCTGAGACTGTGAGACTCTAATTTACAGTTCCAACTGTAAATGTAGAAAAAAAAAATTCGCTTGATCTAATTTATAGTTGCAACTGCAAATTATCCCTAATTTACAGTTGCAACTGTAAATTCGAGTCTCACAGTCTCAGTTCTCACAATTTCTCACTAGACTACCAGACATAGGCAGCTTTCATTCTTCGATAGCACGCGATACGCTGAGACTGTGAGACTCTAATTTACAGTTGCAACTGGAAATTAGGAGATGTGTAGAAAAAGTTTCTTCTGCCTTATTTACAGTTGCAACTGTAAATTAGATCAAGAGAACTTTTTTTCTACACATATCCTAATTTACAGTTGCAACTATAAATTACAGTCTCAGCGCATCTCGTGCTATCGAAGAATGAAAGCTGCCTGTCTGGTAGTCTGGTGAGAAATTGTGAGAACTGAGACTGTGAGATTCGAATTTACAGATGCAACTCTAAATTAGGAGATGTAAATTAGTGCTAATTTATAGTTACAACTGTAAATTAGGCAAATTTTCGTGAAAAAAAAAGTTTTTTAAGGATGGCAGTTCAGACGCGTCGTAAAAAAGTTTTATTTGCGAGACAAAAAACGTGCAAGTTGAAAATAGTTGATCCAAATGCGAGTAGCACCACAGTTTGGAGAATATACATTTCCATAAACTGTGGTAGCACCGTGAGGGGTACATTATTTTTTTTTTCTGCTGAAATTATGCAAAAATATGGAACTATTCAATATATTCAAATAAAGAATTCTTGAAACTCGATAGGAAACGTTTTCAAAAAAAGAAAAAAAATATTAGACAATAAAATTTGATCCATTCAAAAGAATCACTCCCACAAATTAATCAGAAAAAATATATGCAATGAAATTCGTATTGTGAGCTCTTAATTAATCAACGATCCTGAAGAATTTCTCTTCTCTCGAATATCTACGCTCTATTTCTTGAAAAAAATTGAATCACCCAGTATTTGCAAACTAATCATTTTACGACCAATGTTTGAAAGAACTCTTCTTCTGAAAACACTATCGATTGTGGCAGTCCTGCTACTACTATACACTGGTTCATCCTGTATAAGTGAGAAGGCCAATAGGGTCGGATAATAATTTGAAAAATTGCACTAGGGTGAGAGATTCAATTTGGTAATAGCGCCATTATATAACTTTCATTTGAATACAAAACTATAACAAACCATTTATATTCAGTCATATTTTTTGTGATGAGATTATCTAAAAAATTACAATTGCCAACTTAATAATTTAAAATAGCAGCAGTTTGGCTTCCCCAATAACTTCTTTGATTTTAAAGACATGAAAACTAAATTCAAGACATTTGTCAAGGCATGAAATTACCTGTGGAAATTACATTTTGTAACAGATAACACAAACTTTTATTCTATTTCCAACTATATATTATGCATTACCTCGACTCTCTGAATGTGACCAGATTTGTGACATTTTTCACTTTCATTGGATCCAAAAAGAAACATTTCAAAACTGATTTCCGAATTGAACAGTTTTCTGCATTCCTTAAATTGTTTATATTGTCCTTGTTCGTTTCTTGTTAAAGCGGAATTGCTTAGATTTCTGTCGATTCCTATCTCTTTTTTTCATCTTTACAAAAATAAACAAGTTATAGGGGCGAGACAACCGGTATACACCACATTAGCATAATTATAATACTTCTTAGTCCTAATCAAACTTATGATTCAGAACCAGCAATAAAATGTGTCTGAATTCATGGTAATTAGTTGTTTATTGCGCAAACTCCGTAGTAGCCGACTATTCTGATTATACCTATTGATCTTCCCACAAAAATAATACATGTTGAGTAATTTGATACAGCAATTCAAAAATTCATGTTACTGAACGTTATCAGGAATTACAATAGCATACATTATTAAAGTTTACTGGTTAACTGTGAAACTTGTCTTTATATGCGTTTCCAATCAAGAGAATCTGATGACGAATTCGAATTTTACCCAGACATCAAGAAATAGATTAGGTGAACTAACTTACGAACACATTTCATGTTATACTATACTATATTTGTATACAGAAATTACATTTTTTTTGCGAGATGATCTCATAGTAATTTTATTTATTTTACAAGGAAAGCCACACGTAGGAATGATATTTCTTTCCCAAAACTACATATTTTCACAATAATTATTCTTCCTATAAACACGAATTGCTATAATATATTAGAGGAAGAGTCAGTTTGTACCTGCCTAACATCGAGAATAAACAGTTGAATTACATGAAAAATCGTGTTTGAATTTTTTTAACATGACCTGTCTTTATTGGGTAATAGGTATTTCAGATTTGACTGTGGTCATAGAAGTAAAGATCATATAAAAATTGTTTGAAGTATTACTACCAACGGAGTTACAGCCCCCTAGACCTGTTTCCCTGAAGATGGTATTTTCTTGATATTTCCGAAACGTCAAGTGATAAAAGTAATCGAAAGGATGTAATGAAAAAGATAGACAAATGCAGATAATTGTGAACTGAGTTTTTTTTTTCAAAAATGTATATGGTTTCATGGTACTTGCTTCAAAAATGAACCTTGTAAAAGCCTATGTACCTAACAAAAAATAATGAATGAATTTGATATTCATTTATCACAATAACCTAAGAACAGTTACTTTTTGGTAAAAGAGAGAAATATAAGCCTTTTTCGCGAACGCTTCGGAAGATGTGAGAATTTCTGAAGTTTGACAGGTCAAAACTGACGCCCCTCAGACAGCTCTAATTACTTTTCAAGTCAATAAAACCAGAATAAAAATAAAATCTTTTTTAAAAATCCCCTGAACACAAAAAATAAAGGTCACAATTCTCAACAACTATTACTCACGGGAATTGATTCGTCCTGGTGTTCATCGCGTGAAAGAGAAAGGCATACAATGACCTTTTCTGCTTCAACAAAAACTTGAAAACAGCACACATCTGCATCGTTATTTTTGAAATTAAGGAAAACAATCAGATGCCGTAGAATTTGTCATGTGAACCCGACGCCACTGTGTGAGTTTATGAAATTATAGTGATTCCTACTTTATGTCTCCTGCACCACCTAACCTAATTCCGACCGACCCTGGAGGTGAAACATTGATACACAACCTCACTTTTCTTATTTGTTTACAAATCATTGAAATACTTTTTCACAATTATTTTGGCACAGGAATCGTGTTTTTCGGATATTCATCAATTCGTGCATGCCATCCCATTGTGCTGTTGTACAATGCACAAAAAATGCAGCGAGAGACGAAGGAATCCGTTTGGTACATTATGATTTACAAGTAAGTACCTACTAATCCTACTATAGTCACTCAGATAGGTGAAGTTTTCATTTTGAAATTTGGTAATTTCTCTGATTTCTCATCGGAATTCCTTCTGCAATAGGAGCAAATAGAAATACTCGTGAAATTTCTAAAATAATGCAGTATTAGCTTCTATTGCAGAAGTGGATGAAGGAATTTTAATAAGAAAAGCCAAAATTTTATAATGAAAAGTATGTGAGATTACGATTTATCTGAAAATTCATATTCCTTCATCTCTCGCTGCATTTTTTGAGCATTGTATAACAGCACAATGAGAAAGCATGCTTGAATTAATGAATAGTGCAAAAAACACGATTCGTATGCAAAAATATTGTGAAAAACTATTTCAATCCTTTTGATTCCTCTGTAAACAAATAAAAAAAGTTAGATTGTGTTTCAATGTTTTACAGAAAAGTGAGGTTGTGTTTCAATGTTCATTGTTAATGTGACCGCCACTGCTAGCTTTGCCAACAAGATTCCTTGTCAGACAATGAATACTCCATTATCATGCCCTTCCCTCTCCGTCGCGACGAACACCCATCAACTCCATCCCCATCAATCAGTCCGCCCAAGTCCACATAATAATGAACTCCACCCGATAAAAACCGAACGACGCCCGCCCTAAAAACTGTCCTCGCTGTCGTCGGGCAGCCCGTTCAGGTTGGCCGGCCCGAAGCGCTGCCCGCCCCCCGAACCGCCTTCCGAAGCGTACCCACCTTCGGGGGCGGGCGAGCCGGGCGAATCGGAGGCCGCCCCGCCGCGCCCCACCGCCGGCTCGAACGCCTCTTTGATCTGGCTGCTGGCGCCCTTCGGGTCGAGGTCGGTGGCCCAGCTGAAGTGCATGAGGGCCAAGTCGGTGTTGCCGAGCTTCTTGTGGACCTTGCCTGTGGAGGTAACGTTGTAATGAACGCTGGACCAAAGGACCCCGCACAAATCAAAAAATCCAATTTTGATTCCTGTCAATTTACCTGAAATTTTGGGGGAATGTAGTTCAAAGTGTGCTGAGCAAAAGTCTCCATGGGGTCAAACGATTTCTATGAGTAGTTTTCGTGCTACGCTCTCGTGAATCCTCTGATGCTACATATAGAAAAAAACTTGAGGTACACAAGCACTTGTGAGTTATTGAAATCAAATTCAGAAATTCAGGAAGTTTGCTGATTAGTTAAGCTATATTTCTTCACTATATTTTACATACATTAACATCTATCAACTGTCATATCATTAATCATATCACCTGTTCTTTGCGCTACTCAAGGCCAACGACCCTGTATACACACACCCACAATGCACCTACACAACCACACACCCACCAAACCTAACCTAACCTAACCTGAGCATAAGAGGATTCACGAGAGCGTAGCACGAAAACTACTCATAGAAAACGTTTTGTTCAGCACACTTTGAACTACTATCACGCAAAATTTCAGGTAAATTGACAGAAATCAAAATTGCATTTGATTTGTGTGTGTTTTTTTATTGAGTACCACGTTTTTTTGGATAGATGTACATCTTGGTATGTCGGTCGTCAGTATGCCTATTTTTCTTCTATACTAATATTATGAAGAGGATTCTTTTCAAAATTGGTACCTATGGGTTTTCATGATCGAAGATTATGATTGTCAAAATTAAGAAACTCAAGATGGCGGATCCAAAATGGCGGATTTTGTAATTAGGATCCGATTTCATTAAAATTTGATATCTGGTGGTTCTCGGGGTCGGAGATTATGAATCTTTCGTCAAAATTAGGAAATTCGAGATGGCGGACCCAATATGGCGAACGAGTATTGTAATTGTAATCCGACTCTCTTCAAAATTGTTATCTGGGGTCGGAGATTATGATTCTTTTGTCAAAATTTGGAAAGGGCAGGATTTGAAAATTCAAGACGGTGAAACCAATATACCGGACGAGTTTTGTAATTATATACCGATTATATTCAAGATATGTGAGTGGGATCAAAAATTATGATTCCTTCGTCAAAATTAGGGAATTCAAGATGGTAGATCCAATATTGCGGAAGAGTTTTGCAATTATGTTTCGATTCCATTCAAAATTTTCAACTAGGGTTTTAGGAGTCGGATATTATGAATCTCTCATCAAAATTGGGAAATTCAAGTGAACTAAAAAGAAGTTTAAAATGGTAGTTTGAAAAACTAAAGAAACACGCTTTCATAGATAGCGAAACTAAAAAGAAATAGAAAATAAAATAATAATAGTGTCTTGATGAATATTGAACTAAAAAAAATATTATAAACAAATAATGAATATAGCAAAACGTTTGCGAGGTCTGCTAGTGTATTAAAAGTATGGTCGGCTGTGTACATATTGTAGTTGATATTTTGTTTTCAATAAAAATATTTTTGCAACTCGTTCTCCAGATACTTCTAATAGGCCATCCACCGTGGATCACCCTGTATAACCATAATGAACAACTATGCATGATACGATGTTTTAAAATGCAATCAGCTGTAGATTTCAGAGGGTAATTTGAAAGTAACCCCACAGTTTCAAGTAATTCGGTAATTAAAAAAAATCGCAAACTTTCTTACCTATCAAATAATAAACTAAAGATTCTTTGGGAACAATCTCCTTCACCTCCTCCAGCTCCTTGAGAGCCTCGGCGTGTCTACCTAAAGCGAAGTATATCGAGCCCCTGTGGAACTTGCACAGCGGACTCCTCGGATTATTAGCAATGGCGGTGTTGAACGTGCCCAACGCCTTCTCCGTCTCTTTCAGAGCGTGCTGCACCACCCCGATATGACACAAAATCACCGAGCTCTTCAAGTTTATCGACAAAGCCTTGGCATAGTTCATCTCGGCCAGCTCGTACCGCTCCTGCTTCGAATAGATGGTGCCTATACCGAACCACGCGTTATAGTGCCTCGGATCCAATCGAATGGCGTTCCTGAAACAGCTCATCGCCTTGTCGAGCTCTTCAGTGGTGATGTACTCGTGGCCGAGAAGCGTGTAGGCGTAGGGAAAGTTCGGATCCACCTGGACCGCGCGCTGGAAGAACTTGATGGCCGTGTCGTGCTCCTTGTGCAGCGAGAAACAGTTGCCGCTCACGCACCACGTGACCGGCGAGTGTCTGTTCTGGTCGATCAGCTCCTGGGCGAGGGCGGAGAGGGCGACCTCCTTCTGCAGGTGCCACAGGGCCGTGGAGTAGACGTCCATGTAGGCCAGGCGGTAGGGCTCTTTGTCGTGCACCTCGGAGAAGTACTTGGTGCTGGACTCGTAGTCGGCCTGTTCGAAGTACGCTAAACCTATTGAATAAATTGGTCATCATTCGAAATGTTGAATCGGATATTTTCGGTTATAATTGCACGAGTGCATAAAAATTACCGATAATTTTGCAAGAAAGCCTGTTATCTAAAGATTGCAAGAATTTATCTTCACATTTTGGCGAAAGAGTCCAAGTGCGAAGGAGGAGGGACCCAAGTCCCTCAAAAGACACTTAATCACTTGCTGTAAACAGCAATAAACTTCCGAGTCCGAGTAGTTCGAGTTCTTGTTCAAATTTCACTTCATCATTCACTGCATAGTTTTCCGGGAAGGCGATTACGGGGTGGCGAAGAAGAATTTAGGAATCAGTTGTGGATATCGATAGTTATGAACATTTGATAGAAAATCATCGATTTCACGTTTGACACTTTTTTATCTTTTTTTGTTTCTATGAGCCCGAGTCCGAAGGAGGAGGGACCCAAGTCCCTCAAAAGACACTTAATCACTTGCTGTAAACAGCAATAAACTTCCGAGTCCGAGTAGTTCGAGTTCTTGTTCAAATTTCACTTCATCATTCACTGCTCAGTTTTCCGGGAAGGCGATTACGGGGTGGCGAAGAAGAACTTGGGAATCAGTTGTGGATATCGATAGTTATAAACATTTGATAGAAAATCATCGATTTCACGTTTGACACTTTTTTATCTTTTTTTGTTTCTATGAATACCTAGTTAGCAGTATATCCACGATGTGTTGAACTGATTCGGCGGTAAATTATTGAACTGCTCGATCACAGATACGCAATCGAACTGCGCCAAATCAAGGTACGCCCTTCCCAAGTCCCCCAAAAGTAATATATGCCCTTCGGCGCTCTGTTTCTGAAAGTTCATCACCTGCTGCAGACAGTTCTCGCCGCACAACGTAGTCATTGCACTTTTTCCTATATCCTATACCTCGTGTTCAGTCCGAGTAGATCGAGTTCTTGTTCAAATTGCACTGTGTCATTCTCTGCTTAGTTTTCCGGGAAGGCGATTACGGGGTGGCGAAATTATTCCCGCTGGACGGCTTGTTGTTTTCCTTCACGGAGTCGTTGCTGAACACTCTGGAGCTTCTTGTCACGTTCTGACTAGGCTGCCTCGCCATCTGACTAGACAACCCCGCCACCTGACTAGGGTGCTCCTCGATCTGACTAGACAGCCCCGCCAAGGGAATGGTGGGGGTTTTGGTGACTGGCACGTAGGTCGATTGGCTGAACACGGACTTGGAGAAGGGTACAAAAAAGAGCGCCGAAAATATCATATTTCAGCAAGGAAAATGACAATTTCTCAAATTCCGAAACCTTCACGAAAAACAATAACAATTTACCCCAACGGGAGCCCTCTGCAAATATTTTAATATTGCACATTATTATGTATCACCCTTTGGTATCATATCTTGAGGCGCTACAATAAATCATGGATTACTTACCAATGAAACAAGCAATCAGGAACTAAAAAGAAATTGTAAATCATTTGTGAATATCGATAGTTATAAACATTAAAATTTGATAGAAATACATCGATTTTACGTTTGACACTTTTTTTATCTTCTGGACTACACAAAAAGGAATCTCTCTGTTATGTTAATGAAACATCGGGTGTGCTTACGGAGGATAGGGATAGGAGGTAGGTGTAGGATTCAGGAAGAAACGGTTAGTGTTAGTGAACCTGATTAAGTTAGGCTATTCCTCACCAAAATAATTTAGTGTAAGTCTGATCTGTTGTAAATTTTTTGTATCTATAAATACCTAGTAAGCAGTATATCCACGATGTGTTGAACTGATTCGGCGGCAAATTATTCAACCGTTCGATCGCAGACACGCAATCAAACTGCGCCAAATCCAGGTACGCCTGACCCAAGTCCCTCAAAAGACACATCAGCCCTTCGGCGCTCTGTTTCTGCAAGTTCATCACTTGCTGTAAACAGCTCTCGCCGCTCAACGTAGTTATTGCACTTTTTTCACTTTTGGCATCCGCCGCCGTCACAGTCTCGCTCTTCTCTTTTTCGATCCTATTCCTCGTGTTCAGCTCCGAATAGTTCGAGTTCTTGTTCAAATTGCACTTGGTCATCCTCTGCTTGGTTTTCCGGGAAGGCGATTTCGGGGTGGCGAACTTATTCCTATTAGGCGACTTGTTGTTTTCCTTCACGGAATTGTTACTGAACAGTCTGGAGCTTCTTCTCACGTTTTGACTAGGCTGACCCGCCAGCGGGATCGTGGGGGTTTTGGTGACTGGCACGTTGGTCGATTGGCTGAACACGGGCTTGGAGTTTTGGAAGATGGAGTCTTTGCGGCCGATGAACTGGTCGACTTGGGCTCGCACCCTCTTCGCCAGCGACTGGTGGTGGGTGTTGCATTCGGTGAGAGTGGGGGGAGATATCGTGTCGGGGGTGCTAACAAGGTCGGAGGACGAGTCGAAGAGTTGGCCGAAGCTCGGCAAGGGACTCTGGAAGTGGGAACAAAAAATTTAAAAATCCTCTGAAGTAAATACTGTCTGTAGGTTAATCGAGGAGATGGTACATTCATTATAGCAAATTTTTTGGGATTTTCTCTCCTCGTTTCTATAAAATAAAAATATGAATATTATTTCAATATACGTGTAGTAAGGACAAATCAGATGATTCACCCCAAAATGTCACTGCGTTTAAGGAATTTTCCAATCAGAGAGCCTAAAAGAGGAATTCACTAGCTTGTCAGTGACAATTTGTATTGAAAAAAGTTTGGAGAAGAGAAATAACGGTATATTGAAAAAATATCAAATTTTCACTTATCTTTGAACGTTTCGGGACCGATTCTGCTCCCGTTTTTAACATAAGGAATGATGCAAGCAGATTCCTTGATTTTTCTCTGAATCAAGGAATCTGATTGCATTCTTTTGAACGAAGACAATAGCATTGCTTCTTGTTCAGTTGATATAGACAGAACATGGTATTCACTACTAAAATCTGAACATGAAAATGGTGAATTCAAGATTACTTAATGAAAACATCCTGTAACTCATTTGATTGCCAACGTCACCAATTGTTAATGAAAACTTACGACTTTGCTATTGAAATAATCATTCCTTATGTTGAAAACGGGAGCAGAATCGGTCCCGAAACGTCCAAAGATGAGTGAAAATTTGATCTTTTTTCTATATACCTTTATTTCTCTTCTTCAAACTTTCTTCAATACAAATTGTCACTGACAAGCTAGTGAATTTTTCTTTTAGGCTCTCTGATAGGAAAATTCTTTTTTCTCCGATTGGCAGCAAATATCAATTTTGCTGACACATATCAATCAGCAAAGTATTACTTTCCCTGCCTAGGCAGCAAAGTGGTTACTTTGCTGATTGATATGTATCAGCAAAATTGATAATCCATAAATCGTTTATAATTTCCTTCATATTTCATTCGAGACTTCTCCGGCAACAAATTCAACTCTATATTTTTTGCCACCTCTCTTATTTCTGGAGGTGTAAGTACTTCCAGGTCGCTATCACTGTCCATTATAAAATAATTTAAATATGCCGATATTTTTTCGTACAACTGTCAGAATTTTCATGAATTGTCAAACTATAATTATCATGGACAACTGCGATTTCTATCAAATTTCATTTTAATTGAACACTACAGGAAAAATAAAGAGATTGTGGAAATTGTAATAATTTGCAATCATTACAATATCCTCCTAAATCATTATTAACAATCGGAGAAAAAATTATGTGTTTAACTAGGCAGCAAAGTAGTAGATTGACTGCCGAGGCTGAATTCATAGCCGAGCGTAGCGAGGCTAGGAATCCAGCTAACTATAAACGCAGTGACATTTTGGGGCGAATCATCTGATTTGTCCTGACTACACGTATATTGAAATAATATTCATATTTTTATTTTATAGAAACGAGGAGAGAAAATCCAAGTAGCCCATACTGGAAGTGGAGGAGGATGATCAAAGAGAAAAACTCAAAGTAGTCTCCACAAGTCTAATGGCAAGAGGAACAGTCAATTCTGCTTCATTACTTTCGAAAAATCGGACACGTTTCGACCATTCAAATGGTCATCATCAGGCACTGTACAATAATAATGTTGATTTACAACGAAAAGTTGCATCTAGCAAATGGTTAAACTCCGGAGTGGGAAGTGACAAGTTATACAATACCAAACCCGATAAGGCGTAGTGAAATATCAAGAAACAAGTGAAATACAAATTATTATAACTATGGTTGAGGGTCATGTTGATTGAACATTTATTATGAAAGAATAAGTAAGTGATGGTGAAGAAACAAGTGTCTGGCTGCAAAATGGTCGTTTTCGAACAAACTTGTTCGACGAACAAAATAGCCCATCAACAACGCAGTCTATGGGCTCCTTTACGAGATTCACCAAGGTAGCAGGCAAACAAATCAAGGCGGCTGACTTCGTATTTCGTATGAAGTGCCAGTGAAATAGAGATGGGAGCGGGAAGAAGGCACCACGATATCCTCGCGTATTAGATAATGATATGCTCGCATCTTACGTAGATTTGATCAGCATCGCATCAAGCGGAATGAACCTTTGAACGATTTATTCAAATTAGCCGAAGGAGGCTATGACTATTTCGTCCTTAGAAACCTGATGCTATCAATAAAATGACATGAAGTGAGTAAATGTACTAGCTAATAATTGCAAAATATCATTCAATCACTTACATCATAAGTTGAATGAGGTTGTCCTCTTTTCTGACAGTCGTTGGAAAATATTGTATGTAACTAGTATACAACTCGTGAAAATAAGTGTTCATTGCCCTTGACAACGGACTCGTTGGACAAATTTACGTCGCGTGCAATTAACTTACTTTTTGCACTTGTTGCATAAATATTTTATGTATAGGAATATTTGTGGTAGGAATAATAGTATTCTGAATGAAATGACTAAATTTGGTACCTACGTCTATGGTCATCTGACGGTGCCGGTTATTATTTGCGGTTGCAACCGGGTGATTTTTTTTTCCTAGAGACAGATGACAGTCGCTAGTCAGAAAAGTTGAAAACTACGTCCGAACAATGTCTGAGCTGTGATTGAGAGAAGGAAGATTCAATGCTTTTTAGTATTTTTTCAAATGTTACTCGTTCCGAATGGTTATGGTTAAGAAAACGAATGGATCGTTTATTTTCTAATGAGCTATTTGGTACCCCATAAGTTCATTCAAAATACCTGAGTTTGTCGTGACTAAAAAAATAATGATAACATCTTCGAATGTGATTTTGAAATTGAAACTTCGAACACTTATCAAAAAACGGTTTCAATTGAATAATTCAATAGTTCTGTTCCATTATCCTGACCAGGATCTACAGAATGAGCATTTTTTTTCTCCAATGTAATGGTGAATGATGGTCCTTCGCCAAAATTTCAAAATGCTCCTTCACCAAAGTTTCAAATGTTCGTATTTATAACTCAACTTCGCACATTTATCAAGGACCAATGACAATAGCATTATGTAACAGTTTTGTTCTTTTATGATCAGGATTTTGACATCCAGAGATACGGCACTGTCTTACACCAAGTACAGGGTCTTCACGTATATTTTGAACCCCCTCTTAACAATTTTATTAATCATCAAATTTTTTTTTGTCAAAGAACAGTCTTTTATTTTTCCTGTAGATTTTTAATATGTTAACAGAAAAACAATTGACCATATCAAAATAAAGTTATGGACAAGATGTATAAATTTTTAAATGGAACACCCTGTATTTCATTGCATTTTTATATTCTCCCTGAAGAGCTGATTTCATCGATCTATCACGGTTGGGGTCTAGCTGGAATGATTACAGAGATATAGGGTGTGAAAAATTGAAATTTTCTCAACTTTACGAATTTTTTGTGTTGAAACTATTCATTATTTGCCGAAACGGTTTTCATGTCCCTATCTTAACTTTTGATTTACTATCTACTGACAGTTAATTCGAACACATACAGGGTGATCAGAATTCTGAGTTTTGAACCACCCTGTATTCGTTTCAATTTGGCCAATTATGAATAGTTTCCACACAAAAAATTTCTAAAGTTGAAAAAATCTCAATTTTTTACACCCTATATCTCTGTAATCATGTCAGCTAGACCCGAACTATGATAGATTGACGAAATCACCTCTTCAGGGAGAATCAAAAAATGCAATAAAATACAGGGTGTTCCATTTAAAAATTTATACATCTTACCTATAACTTTATTTTTAAGATGTTCAATTGTTTTTATGTTATCATTTTCAAAATCTACAGGAAAAATTATAAAATACTGTTTTTTGGAAAAAAATTCAATGATAAATAAAATAGTTAAGGGGGGGTTCAAAATATACATGAAGACCCTGTACTCATATGAAATAAAGTTTCTGGTGAGGAAGCCTGATAAACGGTTACACATCCAAGGAAGGCAACAGGCGCATCAATTACCCACTTTCACTGCAGGGTGGTACTTACAAAAAATATAAAACAACTGAAAAACACAATTTGTAGTAAGCAGAACCAAAAAATTGGAAATTAATGGTAGTTTAAGAAACTAAAAAACATGCTTTTACAGATAGCCAAACTGATTGATTGATTGTCTTTATAACCCCAAAAAACATTTCTGTTTATAATAGTGATACATGAATACATAAAAAACTATATTAGAAAAGGTTAATTAATGAATTCTTCTCAGTGGAAACAAATTAATATTGTTTCTTAAGATGCAAGTTGTAACATTGTATTTCTGAGTAATCAAATCATGTCACATATTTTTCATTCATTTATCTACCATTTTTATTCATTTAATGAACTATTGTAGTAATGACTTTGAGTTTCTCTCTTTTTGTGACCATTGCATTCCACTTTAAGTATTTGGCTTTTTCCTAGTGGAATAACTAAAATGTACACAAAAACATGAAAAAAGAAACAGAAAAGTGATGATTAAAAAAGATCATGGATTTTTTCATTTTCTAAAAACAAAACTTTATCCCTTTCTTGGCAAGTTATAATATTAGACTATAAATTATTTGAGATCCAATAAAATCAATATGTTATCCCAGGACATTGTTGAATTTCTTTCTTGTATTATTTTTCATTTGATTGGTCATTGCTGATTTTTTTCAATTAGATAAAATAATTGTCAAACATTCAATTTACATATTATTGTCTATAAATAATGGGGCTGATGGATAATAAAATGAATTATAAAATATTATTAAAACACATTCAGGAGGATATTCATTAAATGATTGATTAATCAAGGAATCAAATATAAGTATCATTCAAATTCACCAATCTATGCAAAAGTATGTGGCCTTGATGGACATCAATGTTAAATTAATATAGCAACACAGCAATGAAAATTTAAGGCCTAAGACTACCCATGAGCAGAACTAGTTTAGAATTTTCTCAATAAGAATGATAATTTTGAAAAGAAGTGGAAACATGTAAATGGTTTTTCTAGTCTAATCAGATATATGACAAAAATTTGCAAAATGAATTTCCTCAGGTATTACCATTGAATATAATAAGGGATTAATACTCACACTACTACATCCACCTAATCTAGATCTTGCTGATTTGAATCTAGAAGCTGGAACTGATGATAATGGACAAAATCCAGACATACTCAGAGGCCGAGCCAATGGACTCTCTTCTGGAGTGCACAACTTTGAATTTGTATTCAAATTAAGATTGACACTAGAATTCAAATTGGTGAACATTGGTAATGGAGTAGTCACAAAAGCTTCTTGAGTATCTGTGCTAGATGGATTATTAGTAATGATTACACTTTCTATGTTATTTATGTTGCTGCCTTGGCACATAGATATATTCTCCAGATTGTTGATTTGAAAGGTAGATTGTGGATTTGGTTTATCACCTATATCACAGAGATGTTCAAAAGCTGACCACAAAAATGGATTTAGCAACAAGGCTTTTTTCCAAACTTCTATAGCTTTGGTTTTGCGTTCAGTTTTGGCAGCAATTTTTCCAAGTAGCATAAGAGCAAAGCTTGCCTGATCTCCAAATTCCTTTGCAAAATCTTCATCATCCACAGCATTCAGGGTACAGTTCTCTAATAGGACAGCCTCAGCTTCAGCATATCTAAATAAACATAATTCAAATTGAAAAGTCCAGTACTTGGGTTGGGTGATTGAGATTTACTCACTTTTCAAGTTCAAATGCACAAATTCCAAACAAATATCTACATTGTGATGAGTTCCCAGCTCTATCTTTCAAAGTGTAATAGGCATGATCTTTTTGCCCATTCCTAAAGTAAGCAGTTGCCAGAAGGAATAGGGTTTCATCAGTTTTAACTGCAAGAGATATATGTGATCTTATAATATGCAGTTCTCAGTTTTTCTTACCATTGTTTTTATATGGATGTCATACTCACCTTCAGCATACAAACGTTCTGACAGAAATATAGCATCTTCAAAAGCATAATGGTTCAAACAATGCCAAATGGCAGCCTAGAATCAAGAAAACATATATTTAGAACCATATAAATGATCATCAACCTATGAAGAACTACCTGAACAGGCTCCTGGACAATCATGATCTTCCTATATGATAGTTTTTTCTCACTCTGTAACCATTTTTCTTCGTTAATGAAATCTCAATTTTCTCGGTTTTGAATCCTGATAGTCACCACAGTGAAGTGTTTTTCGTTATTTTATTTATATATGTGTTTGACATGGATAATAGAAAAGTCAATCGCCATTTTGAGTTGTTTTTGTTTTCAATTTTTCATTTGCACTACCACTACATGCAAATACAACGTGATACAACATACAAAATACAACATACAAAGGTACAACTACAACCTACTAGTGTTGCCAACCTATTTTGATATTTTGATAGAAATTCCCTAGCAAAGGTCAAGAAATTCACGATTATTCAAAATTACGTGTTTGTTATCGTTAGAAGTGGGTACCCAAATCATAAAAAAAAGACTACTCCGGTCTTTATTTATATTTTCCACATTGAATACGAAAAAAAAGCCCTTTTTGGTACATATTTCAAACTCTTGCGACTGTTCCTTTGTGCTTGCTCTATCTGCTGAACTGTGAACTTGATTTTTTTCTATGACTTTCTCTGTTTACATCGTGCCATGAACAGAGACCCCTATGGGAAAAATCAACTTCAGCAAGTTCAACAATACATCTATCCACCTCGAACAATACGAAGGAACAGGCCTGCTGGTACAGACTAGCAGCAGGTAGCCAAGTACGAGAATTCCCATATGTGTTTTCATTTGGTTTTCCCCCTTTTTTTCCCATTCCTCTATTTTTTCAACAAAAATTCCAATATAAGAAAATTTCCACAGGTTGGCATCACTGCACCTACAACTGCTGCCAGTATTGCCAATATAATAATATGAATATTATGGCCTGTTCGGTGGTTCGTTCAAGAGTTACTCTCAACTGCACCGAGTTTGCTGAAGCTTAGTAGATAACTAACAGGCCTATTCGTTTGTGTTTGCTCTACCTGCTAAACTTGATTTTTCTCGATGACTTCCTCTGTTTACATTATGCCATGAGCAGAGACACCTATGGAAACAAAATTAACTTTAGCAAGTTCAGCAACACAAACGAACAGACCTAACTAATATCACTATGTGACTCTACCAATGACGGTTAAATATCTAGACTGTCTGACGGAAAGATGTTAGTGTGACAATTGAGTCACTGTAGTGACAGTGTGACACTAATGGCAATAATGACAGGCGACAGTGACTTCTGACCAAAAGAAATATTTGTGTACGACAATCCAAATAAAATTAAAAATGTATGTCGGTCACTAAAATATGTCGTTGGGTTCCCCATGTGGTGAAGAATTATAGCATTATATATAAATGAGACTTCATTAAGTTTCCACATATAATTTACACATATTTTATTTCACCATAAGAACAACATGCCTCCAAAACCAAAACCAGGTGCTCCAAGTAAAAAAACTGAGCAAAAAAAGAAGGAAAAGGTTATAGAGGTAAATTATCTGGACAAATATGAATATTTTCTAAATCTTTTATGACTCTTAACTTTTTGAAGGACAAAACATTCGGACTGAAAAATAAGAAAGGCTCTAAGCAGCAAAAATTCATTCAACAAGTTGAAAAGCAAGTCAAAACTGGAGGACATCATCCCACAAAGGAAGATCTTAAAAAACTAGAAAAAGAGAAGAAACTGAAGGAACAGAAAGAACTTACTGCCCTTTTTAGACCTGTGCAAACTCAAAAAATTGAAAAAGGTTTTCAGATTATTACTAGAAATTCAGTTGTTTCAAAACATGCAAATGAAATATTTGAATTCTAGGTGCTGATCCAAAGTCAGTGGTATGTGCATTCTTCAAACAGGGTCAATGTGGAAAAGGTACTAAGTGCAAGTTCTCCCATGATCTAACAGTGGAGAGGAAAGCTGAGAAAAGGTCCATGTATGTTGATATGCGTGATGGAGAAGAAGAAACTATGGAAAATTGGGATGAAGAGAAACTTAAAGAGGTCATTGACAAGAAACATGGCTCAGGAAAAATGCCCACAACAGATATTGTGAGTATGAACAACAACATATATCATTGAAAAAACAATAATCTAAATTTTTAAATTGGCCAAATTTTCTTGAGAAATTTTGAGGGGAAAAGACAAATAGATGTTGATCACTATTATTCTCATACTCCCTACAATATACTGCCCTTAGAGCAACTATGAATATTTTTCTAAATGTGGAAGATCAAAAATTCATGTTCTGAGTATAAAACTTATAGTTCCTAAATTATTATTTAACACAAGATCTACCACATTCAATTGATTTTTAAAGAAATTGTGAGAAATCAAACAGATCCTTTATGATAATGATGAAAAAAATGTAGGTATTATCTGGGTTTATAAATGCTTGGTATTGGTTTGGGTAATAGTTCTTCTCTAAAATCTAAATCAGTGCTGCTAATTTTTTGGTGATGATGATTTGGTGCTTATATCTAATTTTTTTGAGAAATTTGGAGATTCCAATATATTCATTTAAAATGGTTTTTTGGAAGATTTGAAAAAAATCATTATTACTCATAGTTTTCTCCTAAATTAACTTGCAATAATTACAAGATACTTACAAGAGAAACATAGGTATATGCATAGATTTTAATCAATGGTACATGTATTGTGAATTTCAAATCACTAGAGAAAGTATTTCCTATTCTACTACCATTATATTCCTTCTTCACCAAATTTTGATTGTAGAATTTATAATGGGCATACCCTGAAAATAAACCACAGTTGAATTTCCTCAATATCTAATAATATTTGTTAAAAATTGTTAAATTAGTACCTTCATTTGTTTCTATACCATGCTCATTTTATGTTTCAAGTATTCGATTTTTAACTATGATATCCTGAAAACAAATAACAAAATATAGTCAGCAATCCTTGTTTTCTTGAGTTTTTTCAACATCACATATTTTGCAAATCTGATGATTTTTGCATTGATTGGTAAATTGAAATTGATCATATTGGCAACACTGTTGTCAATGTATGGTGCATTTAGCCGTAAATGGTCCATTCAAGATGATCCAAGTGGATTCTTTCTCTAAACTGGCCACCCTGAAATTTTCCATGAAGTTCTTCTGAAGCATACATTTGAAAACTAAAAATAGTTTAGCAGTTATTATTTTTAATAATTAAGAGCGGCCGGTTTTTTGCCATTGAAAGAATGAAAAAAAATGGTTGAATAAAAAAAAAATTGTTTCTTGAAATGAAATATGTAATTCAATTATATTGATTGATTTGTATTTTTATTCAACAATCCTTACAAGTTACATGGCATAAGGTTTTTATTCAATGTTCAATCTATGAATACACACTATATATTTATAACTCTTATCATGGAAAATGTTCATTGAATAAACTTATTTATTATTATTATTGATATGGACAGATGGTGTCTGTAATATCTATGCAGATCTCAAAATTTAACTGAGTTTGGATGTAAGGGGAGGAGATTGAAAAAGCCCTCGATAAAACTCAACAAAATACACTCCCCCAAAAAATTAGTGCACCACCAAATAGTACTCAAAAGTTTGAGATATGTTTGTGTAAAACCACTTGTTCCATTTGGACGATATTTGTTTTCAATGATAGGTTATCTTCTTCTGAATATTGTAATACAAACAAAGTACACACTAGCCTTATCTTTTTCCATCATTCCTTTTTTGGATATACTCCATTACATTTCCTATTTCTCCAGAAAGAAAATTTCATAGCATATGATTTTTTTAAACCAATTGGCATTGAGGCTATGGTCTGGGAAGGCATTCCTTTAACTGGTTGTATGGAACTTGTGATCATAAATGGAAGCCTTACAGCTGAAAGGTACATATCGGTGATTTTAGAAACTACATTAATTATAGTGTAAAGATTTTTGTTGATAATAAATGCAAGATATTGCCAGGCATCATGTAGCCCGAATTATGATAAATTATCTAGAGGAAGTCTGTACCATGGCATGGCTAGCTCGGAGCCCGGTTTTGAAACCCATTGAAAATCTCTGGGACATTCTCGGGACAAGAATACAAGAGGAACATAACTTGAATACTATGGGAAACGCACGGCAGGGACTGATGATTCAAATTGGGAAAGACCTAGACATAGACCTGTACTATCTTATTTTGGGTATAGGCTGTCTTTCCCAAGAAGTTATTCGTTCCCGCGGCGGAAATACTTGCTAATGACCCTTTTGTTAAACTTGTGACTTTGCATTCTGTTTTGTTTTTTACTTCTTCAATTTGGACATTAGTTTTCCAGAAAATCATAGTACTGTCGTTGAATAAAACATAATAGGAGGAATTCATGACATTATAGTCCATTCTCGACTTTTTGTAGCAACCAGCATGTCCAAATATTTTTTATTCTGGATACCAAAATATCATGTGAATGTTGGATACTTGGCAACATTGTGCTGAATGCTGAGAACTGACAAGACCACGCCCACAGTCGTACGCGGGGTTGTCATGTTCACCAATTCAAATGGTCTCTAATGTGAATTAATATAATTATTATTTACACTAATTTATTGAAAGCAATAAGCCACAAATCATAAGGGAACATTTTGGGACAGTTGAATTTTTATTGCTAATTAGGAATATTACCAATACTCAAGTGAGAATTCATGAATTGTTGTATAACTGATATTTCTGAAGTTCCCAATAGTCTTTTAACTCATGGGAACTTATGAAATCGTGTCATCAGTTTTTACTGGCGGTAAATTTCTAGCCGTCATTAATGATTTTAGCACCTAAAAATCGACCGAAAAATTCTTCAAAAATATGAAATTGAAAGGTATTTGAGCGTTGATTCTATTTGAGAAATAAAAAAAATCAGTCCACTCCCCTATTGCTACACCCGGTATGTATAAAAAAGAGGTTTTACTGCAAATACAGTTCGCACACCAATGTTCAGTTGGAAATAATCTGTCTTTCAAAACATGAAACGTCCAAATCGGCAGGGGCGTCCGGAGGGGGAGGCAAGGGAGGGCGCTCGCCCCCCCCCCCTAGCGCCTGGTCTTTACTCAGATACTTTCTAAACAAGATACATTTGCATTATTCAATCCCTCCTTTGATTAGCGCTTATTATAGTGACTTTCTGAGACATTGTTTAATTAGTATTCATCAACAAGTTATTGATAAATTTCCTCAAGACTCTATAAGAATGCCATGTTTGTTTGATCAAGATAATGATTATTATCACGTGCAATTTTTTTTTTTAATCTTGGCTGTAAACAGAATACCTATGTGGTGTCAATTCATTTAATTTTCTTTTTTTATTCCATGTTTTATGTAGAATAATAGTAGATTATATATCGAGAGAGTAAAGTGCATATGATTTTTCCAGAGGTGGTTTTGTAGCCAGAGAGTGCTACAATGCACTGAGGGAAGAAATAACTAACTTCCAAGGTTTATATACCATTTTTTGCACGACTCGACGATATTAATTGAAAGAATCTCATGATAAAATCAGTTATTGTCAATATGAAAATGATAAATCTGATAAAGAAGAGTAGCCATATTGCTTTTTGTGAACATCGAAAAAGTGTGGTAGCATATTTTCTTAATTGCTTTCCAAAGTTTTTTCAATAAATATTGCAGGAATGTATGGAAAAACTATTGAAGAAGCTGCTGCAAACATAGTGGTAGATTTATTGCCAGAAAAATCCCGGAAAATTTTATAGCCTAGAGAGTGCCCTGTATACCCTGTATTCCCGCTTTTGTTGGTGTAAAATCGCTTATAGGTCGCGCAAAAACTGTTTTTTTGATATGTAGTGAATATTGTACATGATTTATTCGCGAAAATCACGAAGTGTGCGGCCTCTGGTGGCTAACTTTACAAGTCTTGCGAGTATGAACAACAAATATGGCGACCATTGTTTTGAGTTACTGTGTTTTATATGAAAATAATTTATATTCCAGAACCTCATTTCTCCCTGATGAAAAAACTCGAATTATTGCATGAACTTTTATTGTTTACAATGAAGAAGCCAGTACCTTATAATAATATAATATACATTTTCTGAAGCACAGTTAGAATTCTTGTATAAATGTTGGTTGCAATGATTCGATCTTGAGAATAACTCCAAGTCTTCAATTGCTGGAGATCCTTGTTTATGTAAATCGATGATATATTTCATTCTGAGCAGCCTTTCCAACCATATCTTCTTTTCCCAGCCCCTTCACTAGAATTCCATCTCCTTCATAAAATCCAGTGATATTTCTTGATGAATTAAATTATTTCTTCATACCTATACCATATTGTTGTAATAGCTGATTGCTTATATGGCTCCATTCCAGTCCATGCAAGTGTTGAGTGGACCATTCCGACCATTCCATATGTTTGAAAACTGTGGAATTGTAGTGTGATATCAATGATGAATACCACCATTGTTCACATCAAAATGGCAATTTCTCTGCACGAAAAGTAATTTTTTCCATACTGGAAACCTTGTACGTATTTCACGAAGTCAACTCATTATTCACTATTTTGCAAAATTATTTCAAAATAACCAGTGCATACGGCAATGTTTTTGTTGTTCATACTCAGTTTGAAATTCGACGTTGATTTGACGTTAAATAGAGCCATCTATTGGTTCGTGATTTTCGCGAATTGTGACTTGCCCCTCCCTGAGATTATTTCTGCGGACGCCCCTGAACTTTTGGCTACTTTTTGGTGGTCTGTTAATTTCTTGGAGAAGTGTATTTGTATTTAACCAACAATCATTTATACCCACTCTGAATCACATTTATTTTTCTTGAAGATATGCAAGCATTTTCTTGAAGCAGTGGAGAAATCAAAATATGGATGGTTCTGGACATGTCCCACTGGTGAAAGCTGCATATACCGTCACGCCCTACCATCTGGATTCGTGCTCAAAAAGGACAAAAAGAAACTGGAGGACAAGGCCAATGAAATCACTCTGGACGATTTGATAGAAAAAGAAAGAGCAGCTTTAGGGCCGACCCAAACTAAGGTCACCCTAGAAACCTTCCTGGCTTGGAAGAAGAGGAAAATTCAAGAGAAGAAAGACCAATTCAAGAAAGATGAGGACAAGAAACGTAACGATTACAAGGCCGGTAGGCAAGTCGGTCTTTCTGGTAGGGAAATGTTCAGTTTCAATCCAGAACTTGCCAATGATAATGACATGGAGGATGGGGATGAGTTGTTTGATTCTACTGTTTATGCTCCTGAAGAGGACACTGAAGTTTATAAGGAAATCAATCTTGATATTATTGGAGAAAGTGCACAAGAAGTAAGTTCAAAATATTTCATGAGTGGAATTTCAATGTTTCAATGTCAATAAGCCTTTTCATCTAGATATATTTTTAAGAGGCATGCGCTCGTTTTTAGATCCAATAATTTATTGGGTGATGCAAAGGTGAAGTCTCATTGGCTATAGTTCCAACACAAAATGCTGATTGGCCATTTCGAATATGGCGGGTATTATTGACGTTCTGTCAAATGTCAACAGTGTCAACCACCATGGGCATTGGTCATTGAGAAACAGCAATAACAACATAGTATTTTTGTTTTCATATTCCTGGTGTGTATCAATTGTATTATAACAATTTAATTCCAAAAAATGTTACTTTATCAGTTACTGAAGAGTGTGGTACTGTGGTATAAGTGTTTCGGTCAAAATGGCCGCCATTGTCGTTGGACGTAAACAGAGATAGTCATTTGTCATCTAAATGAAAAGGCCTATTGAGTAGAATAAGGATTCTACATTTTTTGGAAGTACAAAACATGATTGAACAATTTTTTTTCACTACACAGGTTGATAACACTGGTACACAAGCTACAGAAGACAGGTTTAAAGCTGCAGATGCTGATGAAAATGCATCATCAAGTGGAACAACCTCTAATGCTACTGCAGTACCCATTAATGAGAACCTTTTCCTAGAAGAAGACCTAGATGGACTTGATGATGAGCTGAATGATTTGGATCTAGAGGAATAATACTAGGGTTGTATCATAAATTTGACCCTATCGGATTTTTAGCATAATATTATCATTAAAGTTTAATTGAAAACTGTAAATAGACAACATCTCAAAGTTTATTTGTTTCTTTTTATTATTTATTATGGATAATATACATTTGGCTTTAATCTTAAAAGTAACTGTAGGTATAAAAAATATATATTTCAACTTTAACTAATGAGTTTCTTCAAATGTACTCCACATTTCTTCAAACTCTTCACAATATCTATTAATAATGTTCAAGTTATTTGTTAATATAACTGATTCAAAGTTAGAGACTAGTCCTTGGCTAGTCAAGTTAAGGGAACCAAAGAACATTTTGGCACATTTGGGATTTTCTTTATCAATTAGACAAAATTTATGGTGCATCATACCATGGTTATTGGTAGGTTGAACTTTGAAAGGTACACCTAAAAAATACAAATAATTTTGTATCACATATTCTTTGAAGAATATAATGCCTGGGCATCAACCACAAATCTCCACTCAAACTTGGTGATTTGATGAAAATTCTATCTGATAGCTTTATTCACAGATAAAAGACCCTTTTGTTTCTTTATTAATACCATTGATACTTACAGCTTCTTTTTAAACGTGAGAAGTTAATTTGTGATGGATCGACCTGTAACATTACTCTATCAGTAATAACTCGTACAATGACGCCCCTATTATGTGCTTGAATCAACTCATAGTTTAGGTGCTTCAAAGTTAACATGTAAACACTCATACAAATACTAATTTGGGCACTTCGGATGAAATTTTGAAGTGTTTTTTGATAGGCATAGGAGCATTTTTCGCCACATTCTTTTTTGTCTAGTAAATGTTGCCTACATTGAAAATTTTCCATATTCACGAATATGACCTGATGATAATACTTTTCTTCTCTAATAACTTGTGGATTGATCATTTTTTTATATTTCTTCTTGAATATGTAACTGAGTAGAAGAGGAAGTGATACTGACAGGAAAATTATGGAAGGTATTGATTTGATCATCTTTGTACAAAATTTAATGTAATAGAAATATAAATAATTAAATTATTATAGCATACCGCCGTGCAAAACAAAAATGTCAAAAGTACCAAATACCTAACAAATTCTTATACTTTCTTTTTTATATGAACAATGTAGAGTAGAGGTTGGTGCCTGTTGGTATTGGCTCTTATGTGTTATGTGATTAATTCGCAGCTTTGACTTTTGACACATTATCTGTATCGCACTTCACGTGTGTTATTGTTATGATAAAATTTAGGTTAGGTTTTGATAGTACGTAGTACTTGGAGTACTACCACAAACCAAACACCCACCCATCGGTACTACTGGTAATAGAAGCTCTAGTAGAGATTGTCTATGGAGAGTCAGACTGATATGAGAGTGTCTAGGTCAGCCTGATCCGAGTTTTCCTACCACTGAAATATCAAGCCTCAGATGAAACCAAACTATTAGGAGCATATAGTGCCTTTGTTTTTTGTTTGTTTGCTTTCAGAGATTATGAGTATGGGAAGAAATAAGATATTGAAACTATGTTATGTACCAACAAAATCAATTAGATATTATAGTGTGACTGGGAGCACATTTGAAGATGACTTTCAAAAAAATCATATTCCAACCAACATATTTCAAAAATCCCTTCTCACTGTTGGATCTGCAATGGTTTCTATAATGAATCCACACCGTGGAGATATGATAGCATGTCTAGGAGAAACCACTGGAGAAAGTGCTGCTAAATTTATGCTGAAAAAGATGCAACAATCCAAAGAGGGCACAAGCATACTAGAAGAAAGGCCCAGAATCAACTCTAGTACAGTAAACTTGGACTATTTATCAACCCTACCTAACAATACACTTGGTAAAACTTATTATAACTTTCTTAGTAAAAATAAAGTCACTCCTGATTCAAGGATGCCTGTACAATACATTGATGATATAGAGCTGGCATATGTTATGCAGAGGTATAGAGAAACTCATGATCTCAATCATACTGTTTTGCAAATGCCCACTAATATGCTTGGTGAAGTCACAGTTAAATGGGTGGAGGCAATTCAAAACAGATTGCCAATGTGCATAGGCGGAGCAATTTTTGGACCAATTAGGTTGAAACCAAAACACAGAAAATTGTATTTGAATTATTATTTGCCATGGGCTATTGAAACTGGAAATAAAGCAGACTTTTTGTTGAATATTAATTTTGAAAAAAGGTGGGAGCAGCCTCTAGATGAATTTCACAGAGAATTAAATATAGTGCCACTAGATGTAAAGAACAGCAGTTAGATTACCCAACCTGTTTTAGCAAATCTATTTTAAGACCTATTTTACATTATTATTGAGACTGTTGATCATAAAAATGAACTTGTAAAATACCTTTTCTTCAATAAATTATGGAAATAATTGGCAGAAGGACTTTGCTCTATAGCCATTTGAACATCCTTGCTCAAAAAAGAATAAACTATTTTATCATTTTTCATATCATATTTCTATGAAGATATTCCATTTTTATGAAAAATAAAATCTTCTTTTAAACTTTCACATTTTTAATCTCAAATTGCACAAAAGCTTGATTACATTCCAAAGAAAACAAAATTTCACCATTTATCACATACACAAAAATACTGCAACTGTTTTATTACTCATTATACATTAGAGTAAAAAGCTCAAAGCAAAATAATACTTCTTAAAGTGGCAAGATGTATACAATTAACTTATTAAACCTACACAAAACAGACAACATTTAAAACACATTTTTTTACTGATTTTTAGATTCTTGAACAGTCTTTTCCATTGTTATAGGCTCAGATCTAGGCTTATCTTCTACATATAAATTTATATAGCTGCTGATGCCCAAAATAATTATTTAGCCTTGAACCAATTTCTATGTTTGTCATATAAATTTGAATATCACAGCAAAAATTCAAATTCCACAATATCATTCTAAATGACTAGATTTTTATCTAATAGCCTTTTCACAGTCTGGAACTGCTAAAATATTATAATTTCCTAATGAAACATGTCAGGTATCCACATATTCAAAATATTTCACCTATAACATACTCAATCTAAAATTTACTACCAGACCTTGAAATAAAAACATAAAACGGACATAAATCTAAAAAAAAGTGTGCTACAACCTGTGCTCTGTTTGGTTAGACTTGATTATTTTTCAATCAACACTAAAAATAATAATCTCATCAATAATCTCTCAGCTTAGTAAGTACGGTAATAAATATCACAAATAAAAAATACATTTCCAATAAAATTTATGAAATTATCAATTTCATTGGTCTGAAAAACCTCTTTAAAGAGAGGAAAATATATTAGAAAATTCAATTTTGTGTTACTCTGTGATTTGGCAGGAGCCAATTTGCACCTTACAGAAAAATAAATAGTTCCTAATACTAGTTACTTACATATATTTGTGCTTCCTAACTTTGAGATTTCAATACACTGGGTCCATTAATATTTGATACTACATAATCATGAAATAATTAACTTGAATGAATGAACTGAAGAATCAAAATGAGATGTGAAAATTGTGATGTTACTATTTTTTTCCAAATGCTGAATAAACAGCAATAATGTTCACATTTGATACAGGAACAGAATAAAATCCATTTACATCCTTCAGAAGGATGATAAAAAATAATTTAAGCTTCCAAAATCACTACAGCATTTTTTTGAACACTGGTCATAACTTAAGACTCCTCAAAACGATGCTTGTCTTCATTCTTCCAAGAACTGACCTGAATGTGTGGAGGAGGTAAAAAACTGCGCAGAGACTGAATGAGTTGAACTGTGTCCATCAAGGCTAAAAATACAATACTCAAACGATAAATAACATGTCCTTTTTCAAACACAGTGTTGTATATATTTGATTTTTCTGTCAGATAAGATCAAAGCTTCTTGATTCATTATTCGAAAGCCACACTTGAGGCTCTCAAGAATTCCCTCTCGGAGTTTCATCATGTAATGGATATTGGGCAAAGAATTCAGCTAAGAAGATAATTAATTTTTAGCTATTGTCAGCCAGCTAAAAATGAGATTGTGATGGACAAATAATTTTATGTATATTTAGAATTTTTGCCACAGTTTTCTGATTCAGAGCAGGGTAATAAATGAAATTAGGAGAATTTTTTTCATTTGTGAGATGAATAGATGCAATCATAAGAAAACAAATAAATACAAGTAATATGCATAGATTATTTTTGTGAATTATGTTATTATTGATTATCAGGAATACTAACATCTTAGAAAATGTGAGTTCAATTTTTATAAATCCAAGGTTTTTTACACTAACTTTCCAGAAATTCATCATGTAAGGTTTTCCATATTGGGGAAAGAATTCAGCTAAAAAAATGATTAATGTTTAGCTATTGTCAGACAGCTAAAAATGAGATTGTGATGGACAAATAATTTGATGTATATTTAATATTTTTGCCACAGTTTTCTGATTCAGAGCAGGGTAATAAATGAAATTAGATTTTTTTTTCATTTGTGAGATCAATAATATATGCAATCATAAGAAAATAAATAAATACAAATAATATGCATATATTCTTTTTGTGAATTATGTTATTATTGATTATCAGGAATACTAACATCTTAAAAAATGTGAGTTCAATTTTTATAATTCCAAGGTTTTTTACACTAACTTTCCAGAAATTCATCATGTAAGGTTTTCCATATTGGGGAAAGAATTCAGCTAAAAAAATGATCAATGTTTAGCTATTGTCAGACAGCTAAAAATGAGATTGTGATGGACAAATAATTTTATGTATATTTAATATTTTTGCCACAGTTTTCTGATTCAGAGCAGGGTAATAAATGAAATTGGGAGAATTTTTTTCATTTGTGAGATCAATAGATGCAATCATAAGAAAATAAATAAATACAAATAATATGCATATATTCTTTTTGTGAATTATGTTATTATTGATTATCAGGAATACTAACATCTTAGAAAATGTGAGTTCAATTTTTATAATTCCAAGGTTTTTTACACTAACTTTCCAGAAATTCATCATGTAAAGTTTTCCATATTGGGCAAAGAATTCAGCTAAAAAGATGATCAATGTTTAGCTATTGTCAGACAGCTAAAAATGTGATTGTGATGGACAAATAATTATATGTACATTTGATATTTTTGTCACAGTTTTCTGAAATTGACAATTCTTTTTTCATTTGTGAGACAATTTTTCAAAAATATCACATTTGTCTTTTAGATGCAATCATAAGAATACAAATAAATACAAGTAATATGAATAGATTCTTTTTGTGAATAATGTTATTATTGGTTATCAGAAATACTAACTTCTTAGAAAATATGAATTGTTTTAATGATTCTTATTTGTCTTTTAGATGCAATCATAAGAATACAAATAAATACAAGTAATATGAATAGATTCTTTTTGTGAATAATGTTATTATTGATTATCAGGAATACTAACTTCCTAGAAAATATGAGTTCAATTTTAATAATTCCAAGGTTGTTTGCACTTACTTTTCTGTAGAGCCTCAGACTGTTTTCCATAAGGTTTGCACATAGCAGGACGTACATAATTCTTCATTCTTGACATATTCTTCATGACTTCAGCAAATGCTCTCACAATTTTTTCTTGGCCCCCTTCAGATACAGAAATATTTTTGTTTTCAGCAGGAACCACCATAGCAGGTGCAGGGGCCCAAGCACCATTGTGGAGAGCTAGCAAATCCTTATTGGAAGCAGAGAGACCTTTCCAGCAATAAAAAATTCCAAATGTACCAAATTGCAATTGAAACAACTCATTAATTATTTACCTTCTAAGCTTTCAAGATTGGCCCTCAAAAAATCAGTCAATTTGTGGTCCATCAATGGCAAATCAAGATGGGGTTTCTGTTGGCTCTTTGTCATGTCAAGTTGCTGTTGTAGCTGCATCTGTTGGCGTTGTTTTTCCAAATTGGCATTTAGCTTGTCAATATTTTGTTGTGCAATAACTCTATTTTGCTGTTGAATCAGAGCAGCAGTGATTTGTTGCTGTGTAGGAGCAACTGATTTTGGTCTATCTAAAATTGGTGGATTTGGTTTTACATCCAGGTTGTTTGAACTGGCCAAATCTGCTGCAGTGAGACCTGTGAAGCAAACTCAATCTTGTATCCTTAATGTGTCTGTTAGTCATGGATTTATCTTGCATTACTGAATTACTTACGATTTCTCAAATCTGCACTACTTGGTTCTCCTAAGTATGTAGGGGCCAAGTGCTGCAGACTTTTCTGAGTGAGTTCCATTTGATTTTTGTAGTAACGGCATGCTGGATTTGGACAATTCTGTACAACTTCAATGACAAAGTCTTTCTCCATACCAAAGTTTTCTCTTCCAATTGTATAAGAATCCATCACCTAAATTAATGCAAATATCATAGGCTTCAAGAAATATATTAAATCATGTTCAACTCACAGCTCTAACTGTTGCTTCTACTCCTAAATGTAATCCATGAGGACCATTCATGTGTTTCAGCATAACAGCATTGGCAAAATGTTCAAAGGGAAGAATAATTTTCCCATTTTCACGTAATATCAACCTGCCTTGGGAATCTAGAGTGACTCTAGATGCCATCATTCTATAATACCATATTGTCAAGACATTGAAGGATAAGGAACTATGTTAAACTTACTGTAAATATGCAGCACTAGGGAGCATAGATGTTTCTTTCAGCTCTGTAAAACATTGTAGAAGCTCCACAGATGGGTTCCAGCCCTTGTTTTGTAAATATAACTGAAGTAGCATGTACAGTTTTTCTGTAACATACCCTGCACCTGGAAAACCCATTCCAGTAGATGATGGTAAGTCATTTACTGATGTTTGTTGAATTCCCTTGGCTAAAACATTCTTCATAGTTTCTGCTAAATCCATTTTGGTGGAAGGTCCGTCGTTTTTGATAATATTATAGCTATTCAACCAAATGACCTGTTTGAAATAATAGACCATTGTTAAATAAATTTAAATTTAATTTTCATAATCTTCTATCCCACTCACATTTCCTGTTCAATTCCAATTGTTCAGCATCCTAATTATCCCAACTTGCTTGCAATTCATCATGAAGATCAGCGTCAGCCAGTTCACTCACTTCACTTTTCCCCAATTGCTTCCTCTTTTGGTTGCTTGCTCCAGAGCCTCCAGGCACTTCCAGATATATATTTGGTTTACTTTCACTTTTTCACTACTACTCAGCTGTCTCTTCACTCTCTTAGAATTTGGCTTTAGTTTAGCCAGTTTAGCTTGGCTTGTTGGTTGTTCTTTTTCACAATTAATTTTTTTTAATCGGCACTCGGCACAGGACAGAAGTGAGAAGTTTGCATCGTTTTTTTAGGTTGACAATGTTGACATGAGATGTTGACACTGCTGACGTTGACAGACAACTGTCAACCAGTTTCCATCACAAATGACAAACCAGTGACGTCGCCACAGAATGTGTAAGTCCGGCAAAGATGCTCTATTTGAAGTTAACCAACTTTTGGTGTTGATAGTAAAAACTGGACGTATTCAATCTGTCACATCAATGTCAGACTATCAAATCATATACCAGTATCAAAGATCAAGTGGGTGACTGATCTCTGCTTCCAGTTCTATCAGTTTTATCAATGTAGCAGGCATCTTAAATGTAGCACTAGCAGATATATAGAACAATTGAATGCGAGTTTGGAACGTGGGGTACTCATATTCGATGATAGATGGCGTGAACGATGGACAATTTCAAGGTTGGTAGAACTGATGATTTTTTATAGCTCTACCAACCTTGGACAATTTCTTGAAAATTTTTAAAATGCGTTTAGAATGTTATTAGGAAGTTGAAATAGACTTTCAAGGATGTGTTTTCCATCTTTCGGGACCTGAAGAATCCCGTTGATGGTGCACGAATTCAATAATAGCTGATAAGAAGCATCTAAAGACAAGACGCGAAAGAGACAGGGCGCAACAAATAATACGTGCGGAAACATCTTGATCTTGACATATCTGTCACGAGTGTCATGTTTTGGATATAATAGATTTTTTCAAATTTCAAATATTAAGCGGGTATTGTTATATTATTAGTTGAGTGAATGTATTGTGCTTTCATCATGGACGGACTGCTGCAATGTGTGAGGATTATTTGAAAATCCGAACTTTCTTTTTATTTTATGCACAAAAAGTGAGTGAATAAACTATCATCGTAGAATTTTCTTGAGTTGATACTTCGTGTATCATTCATGAATTCACCATTGAAGGTCGAAAATATGACGCACCGTTTCCATTTAAACTTTCCGGGAAACTTTCTATATCGTGCCTAGGTACCTAGGGAGGATAGGGACCGTACTCAAACAATTCGAAAAGCCACATTATATGTTGTTCAGAATTGCATATCTCAAAAAATTCTGTATGGATCTTGATGAATCCGAAACCATTTCGAGAAAACACATCAGGCTTCATATTTTTGCAGTCAGAAATAAAATTCCAGAAAGGTGGAGAAACCTAAGAAAATTATGTTATACCCAAAATTGACTGAGCAATCCGAATCCCAAAAAAAAATCAAAAATCGGTTGATCCCATCCAAAGTTATTACGGTTCGAAAACAAACAAAATATTCGCTTGTCTCACTTCAAATGTGGAGTAGTTTAGTATTAGAGCAGGGCCTCACAAACTCACGATCCGCCCCTGATAAAACGAGTTTCAACTTCAACTCCATTAACTAAAATATGTTATGTTTTCTACCAAAATTCGTACAAAACAATAAATGCAAAGAACTTCAACTTTTAATTTCATCATACCACCATTCATATTGAAGCAACCAATATACTTACGCGATTGCTAAGGGAATTAAACCTTAATGAAATGTTGTAGGGGAGTCGAGAAGCCCTATATGTATATCCAGGAGAAAATGAAATGACTTTCTTGTAAACCGTGAACCGTGAGGCTTCCATTAGCCGTGATGGAGGCCGTGATTGACTGAGACCCCCAGCCCAGAATATGAATCATAGAGCACTTACGGCCAGTTTTTAATTTCTAGTTATCTAGATAGTCTATATTATTTATTCCAATTCCTTTTATCAGTAATGGGAGCCTAAAAAATAAACGACAGTGCCAAAATATAATATGTGTGCTAACATACATTATTTTCATTTTACTTGATTTTTTGGGATTTTCTCTCCTCGATATTCTTTTAGGCTCCGTGATACAAAAATTTGTTAAACGCAGTGACATCTGATTTGTCCCACTACAAATATATTGAGATAATACGCATATTTTTACTTACAGACAGTATACATTATTTTACTCTGACCCGTATATAAAATGCATTATTTTCGAGATACCGGGTGTTGAAATTTGAAAAAAAGAAGTTTTTTTCTACTGATAATAAGCTATGTTTTGTGCGGAATTTATTTTGTTAAGTTATAATTGCTGAAGATTTTGAAGGGGTAGTCAGTGTTTGTCTCCCCAACTTCTACGCCACTGGAAAAATTACAGTTTTGAGTCGCCCATTTGAACCGCCATTGTTTTCTACCCAAAAAAGTACTCTTGGTCATAAGCTGTGAAGTCCTGAAGACCTGCGTATATATTATGAAACACTCTGTATAAGTATAACAGAGGAAAAATCAAGATTTTCTTCCAACTTGGGTATAAATTCGCGATAGAAAATAACACGTCGCTCCATCTGACGGCAACAATTTGAACACTTCTGAGCGGTTTTTTTCGAAGGAATGATCAATAATCACTAACGAAAAACAAATGTGAACCAATGAAAACAAAGTAAACAGATCGCCTTGACAGTTTTCAAAAACTTCGATAGGTGCGATTTTTTATACCGGGTGACATAGGAGACATCTAACAGCTTTCTTATTTGAAGAGATACAACTTTGAAATCCACAAGGATTATATTATCGATGATGGCGCTTCCCTTGAACCCATGCAATGACAATTTTCTTCAACCACCTGTTTGATTGGAAGTAGATCCCACCTTTTTTTTTCAACGGCATTCTGTATATTTATGTAGCTTATCAAATTTGCCCAAAAATTCTCTTTTCAACTATGTATTACAATTTGATATTCTTTCATCAATTGGCTGTTAAACTGCATTTTATTGAAGTACATGAAGTTGGCTAATCTTATATAGGCTAATATTAGGACGATACATCTATTTTATTTTCATGTATCCAAATGGATGATGATATTATGGCTACATGGCAAAAATGAAAGACAAATAGTTTCTTTACAAGTAGTCAAATGAAAAAAATCAGAGTTTCTATCTTAGTTTTCATCGTGAGTTATTTTCTGATGATTTTTTTAAACCCAATGAAATCATTGACAATCTTCTGGGACCGATTAGGGTATGGAAAATATTCTGAAAATATCGTCTAGGTAATGATCTTCATGTATTTCAATAAACTGTAATTGACCAGCCAATTAATGAGCGAATATTTGAAAAAAAAAAGGTTGTGTCTACTTCCCATCAAACAGGTGCGGTTAAAAGAAAATAATTGTCATTGGGTTCAAGAGAGTAGGCCCTGGTTCAAGGGAAGCGCCATCATCGATAATATATCTCTTGTGATTTTCAAATTTGTATCTCTTGAAATAAAAAAACTACAGGCTGTTTGTTACATGTCTCCTATGTCACCCGGTATATTGTCGACGTTCCGTTACTATAAAAGTATAAAGTGGACCATCCTGTAGATTATTTCATTTTGAATCTCTGAATAATTTCCATTTCAAAAGAGGAACACCTGAAAGGTATAGATTATCACGAATTCACGGCATTTTGTTAATGATCGGCTTCTTTCAACATTTAGAATTAATTAAATGAAGATAATGAAATTGATATAGATTATTTAAATTCGTTGAATTTATATGCCATGGCTGGAATACTGACTGAATTGCAGGATTTCTCACCATTTATTTACAAGAAATTTACATTTGGTAATTAATTAATGAGTATTCATTCATATGAGAAACTTCGTTATGTACATACTTACTTACTTGCCTTTTTTTTGGCCATGAATACTCAGTTCAACAAGTAATGAAACCAGTGGCGGCTCGTGACTTTCATGACAGATTGTGAAAAACAACTCTCTACGACTCACCCAAATCAATAGCTTTAATGACATTCTGTTAACCTGAACTTAATACTTGAAGAGATGTGTTCCTGTGATTTGCAGTGTCTATCCAATCCGCGAGGCAAAATTTTCAAATCATTATATCCTAATCGCCCCCAACATGATGACTTATCGGTTGAAAATAATACGCAGTACCAACAAAATAGCTTATTTCTTACCTCAGACCCCATCAACCATCAGATAATAATATATTTTCAATAATTATCAGAATTGAACGAACGATTTTGTTTGCTACCTGTTACAATCAGATTTTTTAATTCCGGTGTCGGACGTTTGTTTTTCACAATCAATTCATCTTCATAAGGCAAAGCACTGAATGGGTTCACCAAAAAGTATTCCACTAAATCGAAATCGTTTAAAACACTCATTTTTCAGAAATTTATAGAGTCCCTAACCATCAACCTAACATAAACATAAACAATGCACTCGCACTGGATTGTCCGCAACTCGCGACGCATGGACGCGACACGACAAACACGTGCTATTCGGGCGTATTCGGGCATTTGCATTGCGCGCATGGGTTGCGCATGGTGAAGGAGTCTAGCCTCCTATAGATGTTGCCAAGTTGAATATTTTACGCGTGATTTGCAGACTTCAACGTGTGATGCGTGGGCAAGCACTGTTGCCAATTCAAAAATATTTACCTAAAGACAGGAAATAAAATGAAAAACCATGTATTTTGGTGTCCTTTTGATGAGAAAGTATAGATAATATCAATTTAAGGAGAATCTCTGAGGAGGCTCAGCCTCCGTTGCCTCCTCTGAAGCCGCCACTAAATGAAACATAACTGAATTATTCGATTCAATTGATTTATAGGTTAGTA